ATTAATTCCTCGATGATGATTTGTTATAGAGGCAAAAAAACATACAGCGGAGAGAGCTACCCATTGACATCCTGACACTGCTTAGGTAACGGAGAGAGCTACCCACGGACATCCTGACACTGTACAGGTAACGGAGAGAGCTACCCACGGACATCCTGACACTGTACAGGTAACGGAGAGAGCTACCCACGGACATTCTGACACTGTACAGGTAACGGAGAGAGCTACCCACGGACATTCTGACACTGTACAGGTAACGGAGAGAGCTACCCACGGACATCCTGACACTGTACAGGTAACGGAGAGAGCTACCCACGGACATTCTGACACTGTACAGGTAACGGAGAGAGCTACCCACGGACATTCTGACACTGTACAGGTAACGGAGAGAGCTACCCACGGACTTTCTGACACTGTACAGGTAACGGAGAGAGCTACCCACGGATTTTCTGACACTGTACAGGTAACGGAGAGAGCTACCCATTGACATTCTGACACTGTACAGGTAACAGAGAGAGCTACCCATGGACATCCTGACACTGTACAGGTAACAGAGAGAGCTACCCACGGACATCCTGACACTCTACAGGTAACAGAGAGAGCTACCCACGGACATCCTGACACTGTACAGGTAACGGAGGGAGCTACCCACGGACAACCTGACACTGTACAGGTAACAGAGAGAGCTACCCACGGACATCCTGACACTGTACAGGTAACAGAGAGAGCTACCCACGGACATCCTGACACTGTACTGGTAACGGAGAGAGCTACCCACGGACATCCTGACACTGTACTGGTAACGGAGAGAGCTACCCACGGACATCCTGACACTGTACAGGTAACGGACATCCTGACACTGTACAGGTAACGGAGAGAGCTACCCACGGACAACCTGACACTGTACAGGTAACGGGGAGAGCTACCAGCGGACTTCGAGGGCTCCCTGCACCTCGGCTCACCGTGATCTACCATCACTCCGCCAGCTATCAGCACCTGTAGACCCGATATCTCGCGGCCACACGGGATATACTCACACACATGGGCTCTGGTTTCAGTGCATTAGCCTGCACACATTCGTAACGTGATTTTCCAGGGAATGTGTTCACGAAGAAACACGTTGGGCCGGGGCCGTACATGCAAAAAGCCACACTCTTTGACAATATAGGCATAATTCTGACAATATGGACATGCAAGGTTGATACTCGTCCTGCTCCAAGGCTGTACTGAATGCTAAGACCATAGATGCATACACTAAGTCTTAGTAATTCTATCCTTTAAAAAGGCAAGTCAAGATAAGCGAACAGTAAAGGATTATATTTTGTTAGAAATTTAGGAGATAAACATTCTGTGTTTGAAAATCAGAGGTATATAACGAAATTATAATGGCTCTAAATTTGATTTAAAACCGAACGCGTAGCATGTTTATCTCCTTTCTACCAATACCGCGTTATTAAGATTTAAAAAAGATTCATACTGTGTTGGAATGACTACAATTAACAAATTACAATTCAGTATTTACTTAAGTCATGGTAGAATTTCATATGAACTGTTAATTATTGTACAAGTCTAGGTTGATACATAAAGCTAAAATTCAGCACAATGGCCAATATTTACATAAGTATTTTACTTGTTAAAACTGCACTGCACCTTACATGCTAAGAATGTACAGTGAATTCATGGCTAAGAAACATCTGCAACTGTGCGACGACGTCGTGATGGATCAAAGTCGTGACAGATGATGCGGGTAGGCATCAGGGATCACTTGCACCAAGCGACCTCAGCGTTAAGACCATCGTCCATCTCACAGACTTAAAGGAATTTGCCCTTGTAAATAGACATCGTCGTGTTAGAGTGTCTTCTCATTTACCATATCTGAGAACAGGAACCGAGGTCAAAGCGTTACCTTGACATTGACACTGGCATCCCATATAACATCTCAGATCACCTACCAATACTTGTCTGTATACTTCTTCCTGTACATGTTGGGTACTATCATGAAGAGAACTTAAACTGGACTAAAGCAAGTGAAACTGACCTAATGTTATATCGATATGAAACAGAAAACTACTTTCGTGGAACTGAAATTAACAATGCTCACTTTGATAACAATGTAGACTACATCGAATACTATTGTGATTACGTCACAGGCTCCTTCTGCTGCCGGAAGTACTCCATCCACACGCTTTAGGCCATTTCTTAAACCTTACTGGAAGAAAGATGGTCTAAATAATCTGCATAAAGAAATGCGAAATTGTCGCCAGCAGTTGGTTACAAATGGTAAAGTAAGAGATAAAAACGATGCTGCCTATGCAAAATATAAAGAAAGTAAACGGCTATTTCGTAAGAAACATCGCCATGCAAAACACCAGTTAGCTAAAAATAGATTTGATGAAATCTACGAAGCAGCAGAAGTAGATGTTAAAGAATTTTCTAAATCTACAAAACGTTACAAACGCTGCAAAGGTAATATTGAAAAACTTACCTATGATTCTCAAACTTGCTACGAGGAAAGGATATTTGCAGTCTGTTTGGACTTTATTTCCATTCACTAGCTGCTCCTTCCCCTGATGTAAAATGTGACTATGTACATGCTCAGAATGTGAAAGAGCAAATTGCTAATATTGAAACAAGCGATGACATCGGTTCGCCATTGCACTGTCCATTCACTGAAGATGAAATGAAATCCATTGTACAGTAAAACGACTTAAAGTACGAAAGTCGCCTGGTCCTGACGGCTTAGTGAATGAGCACATAAAGAAGGCTGGTAGATCGCTGCTGCATCATATTGCCTTACTATTCAATGCCAGTATTACGTTTGAATACATTCCTAAATCATTTTCTATAGGTCAAATTCTTCCAATCCACAAGGGCAACGGTAAACCCAAACATGACCCTGCTAATTATAGAGGAATAACCATGACGTCTGTATTAAGTAAACTCTTTGAAAGACTTCTCCTTAACAGAATAGAGTCCTGGATAGATACTAAGATAGAATTTCCCCATCCTCTGCAGTTTGCATTCAGGCGTCACTATGGTGCTGAAACCGCCGTACTGACGTTAAAAGAAAACATTGCATATTACAATGAAAGGATGTCGCCTGTATACTGTGCATTCTTAGATACTGAAAAGGCATTTGATCGGGTGTGGCTTGATGGCTTATTTATTAAACTGTATGATATTGGAATAACGGGTAAACTATGGAGAATATTAAGGCTCTCCTATAGCTCCATTTGTGACTCTATCAATAATCTATCTCAATCATTTCACGTAAAATATATTATTACCACACATTGTAATCTTCATTCAGTTGGAGGAAATAAAGAATATCTATCTATCCATTATATGTAAGCAACGTCTAAAGTATATTTATAACATGTGATGTGATCCGTGCCATTCTATTGAATGTAAACTTATATTGTTATTCTACCATGTTTCAGGCTCGTTTTTCTTTAATGCTTACATTGTAATAAACGTCCATCGCCTCACACTCCAGTGGCGTTGTGGTTCTTGCCAGACAGAAGTAACCCCATTCTAACGATAGTACATTTAATCATGGGATGCTTTCGTGATTTCTAAGTGGTAATTTAATCCCTATATGTCTGTCCTGAAGTAAAATCGTACCAAGTTTCGGTACAGCTGATTCGTGTAGGAAAACACGTTAATTCAGGAGTCTAGCCAATATGGCCGCAATTAAACTTAGTCCATAAAAGCTATCTATCTTGATCCCGCGGTAGTTTCGCCTCACAAACTCTCGCGGCTTCTCGTGTACGGGCCCAACTCTCGCCGTGTCTCGGCGATCGTCAGTGATGTGGAAATACACCGGTGGAACAACACGATAAAAGGTTTTTGCTTCAGTGGCTGAGATAGTTATTTATGTTGGAAATATTTGCAGACATGTTGATGCGGCAAGATAGCGGGCGATGTGACTCACGTTTGTGAGATAGCCCGATGGTTCTGTTTGCATGAAGAACCGTATGGCTAGGTGAATTTGTTCTGTTCATAAAAAATTATCTGATGTGAAAATTGACATGTCACAGCCATTGTTATAGTGATTGCGACATCGATGATTTGGATAACAGCAATTATCATGGCAAATTTCATGATAATGTTGATGATGATGATGATGATGATGATGATGATGATGACGATGATAATGTTGATGATGATGACGACGACGATGATGACGATGATGAGAGGTATTGTTTGAACCATCATTATTGATGATGATGATGATGATAATGTTGATGATGATAATGTTGATGATGACGACGATGATGATAATGATGACAATGTTGTTGATGATGATGATCAGAGGTATTGTTTTAACCATCATTATTGATGATGATGATGATGATGATGATGATAATGTTGTTGTTGTCAACATCATTAAAAACAGCACTAACTTCAGGTATTAGAGACATCAATTACACATGACGACATTGCATCAACAAAACCATCCCCGCAGTCACTAGTAATGCAGCAGTGCATCGGGCTCTTACACACTAAACACATATCTGAATATTGAAACAGTTCCATATCAGCGTTGGCTACTTGATTGCTGGTTTCTCCTGTAGTCGAATCAAACAGTCTCTGGGAAAAGGATGTTTGGTGTTGGACAGTTCAAGCATGCCCGTGAACGTACTGTGTTGTGTGTGCAAACATTCCATTGTCAAACAGTTGAACTGACTGATACAAGATTGTGTGCTTAGGGTCCACATGCAAACACAATATGTAAGGTAAACGATTGTTTTTAAAATATATAAAATTTCAGTAGAAATGGGAATCACAAGAATCGCCCCATCAGAATACAAAATATATATACAGATTGTTCAAAAGTTTCTCAAAATGAAACAAATGTGACATGACCCATGAAACAACTTAGTTTGAACCATTAACCCAAGGTCTCTCTTTACTGGAGAAAATGAAAGGTCCCTGGTATGTAACCAAACAGATTTCGGTCGGAATTAAACAAGCAAATAAATGGCTAACTCTCTCACCTTTAGACGAATCTGCACCTGTTATGAACGTAAAGCCTGTCCATGCGGCTAGAATCACGAGCAGACGACACACCATGGTATCCGAAGCCGCTATGTTCACGTCTCCCGCATCCTTCCACACGAAGTGTCTACATCCAAAAGTAACTCGAGTCAGGTCGACTGTAGTACCTCCGCGATATCAGCAACATATTTGATAAAACCACGAGCAGACGACTCTGTATCTATCCCTTATCACGTGACCAAACGTCAACAATGGCGTATTTAGAACGACCGGAGCCAAGGAAGGGGCAAGCTAGGCTCCTTCAACTCAGAAATGCAGTATTGTATTGGAGAGGAAATGTTTATCACTGGTGCTATACAAAACTCGCCAGAAGTTGGCCGCAGGTGGTTTTCGTTGGAGGCCAAAAGCGCCAACAGCATCCGCCATATTCACCGCGTGATCTTTCCCGCGCTTGACATTTTTAGATTGAAAGGTCAAAGAGGGAACCGCTACTCTCCATCGTAGGGTCGTATGGGAAACATACCCTCACATTGGTCGTGTTTGTTCCTCATGTTGTAAATACAATGTCGAGTTATCTCTCGGGGGCTCGATTTGTGTTGATATCATTTACGTAATGATAAAGAACTATCTGCTTACAGTTTTAACATCTGTTGGTGTAGTGGGATAAATGTCAATGATTGGGCAATTAAAATTGTTATTCAGATTTGAAGTAGGTCAGAGGATTAAATTGGTCCCGTCGTAATCTTTGTAACATTTAAAAGTTGAAATATGTACATTGAATAGATCACCTCATGGCCAGAGAGTAACCAGTCTCGATATTCACCGAAACAGTTTCTGTGTTCAAGTAAAAGAAAATACTGTTGAAAGGATAATTTGGATGGATCACTTAAAATATGTGATAGCACTTGGTGTTAACCCCATTATTTCAAATCCCTCATTGGAATGTCACTATTAAAGAAGTAAATTGTAATCTCGTGGATTTTCCTTGGCTAACCAAGCACAACTATTTTGCGGTTATGTTTGTAACAGGTCTAAAACAAGTTAGGTCACGCCCTCTTAATTTCAAACCACTGCTGACTGGTATTCGCTACGACCCTAGTTAGAACTATCTTTAATAACTCATGCTTGGTGTAAGGAGAAACTAAATGAGCGAGTGAGTGAGTTTGGTTTTACGCCGCTTTTAGCAATATTCCAGCAAAATCACGGCGGGGGACTCCAGAAATGGGCTTCATACAATGTATCCTTGTGGGGAATAGAACCCGGGTCTTCGGCGAATGCTTTATCCAGTAGGCTACTCCACCGCCCCTTCCCGGACCTGAGTAGATATACAGCATTGTAGGCTTGAGAACGATGAACATAATGGCCGACACAGACGGAAACTGACCAGCGTTGCTCATGCTGTTGATCACTGGACTATATGACCCAGACCTAATTATTTATAGACGGCCGCCATATAGCTGGAATATTGCTGAGATTGCGTAAAACTAAACTCACTCACTCATACTTTCATTAAATGGAAGGAATGGCACAAAATACTTGCATCGTTACTGCTTGCACGGCCTGTTTGGTCCTTTTACGTGCGCTTCAAGCGAAAGTAGACTGAACATGCGAAATTATGGCTCAGCATAGGAGAGTGTTTAGTCTGGGTTGCTCTAGACTCCTTACCCAGATTTTATTTTTGTGTTTAGTTTTTAAATTTATCTGGTTTCAAATACTATTCTTTAAATAAAAAGGATGAAGTGTATTTCGACGCCGGATTATCCCTTTATGTCAACGTGTTACGGAAGTAAAACGCGATGTAGAATTTAAAAACAAAATGATGGTCGTGAGAGAGAAAGGTTCTTGATGGAATGTATACTGATGGAAATGGCTGATGAAACAAGCCCGAACTAACATTGCAATTATGTCTGTAAGTAAACGAATCTTGGTCAGGCACATCGGTGAGTGAGTTAGTGAGTTTACTTTTACGCCGCTTTTAGCAATATTCCAGCAAAATCACGGCGGGGGGAACCAGAAATGGGCTTCATGTGGGGAATCGAACCCGGGCCTTCAGTGTGATGAGCGAACGCTTTAACCATTAGACTACCCACCGCCCCAGGCAAGCACCAAAGCTAATGTTCACGATGTAACAAACGTTTTCGGCAAATATGTATTCGGGGGTTGTTTAGCGCCTCAGTGAGCATTATTCCAGCTATGTGACGGTGGTCCATGATTAATCGAGTCCAGATCCAGACGATCCGGTGATTGACATTATGAGCACCGACGGGAAACAGGGACATGTATCAGTCCAGACACCGAGCCCGTCAAGCACATGTCCCCCGCGACGGGAAACAGGGACATGTATCAGTCAAGACACCGAGCCCGTCAAGCACATGTCCCCCGCGACGGGAAACAGGGACATGTATCAGTCAAGACACCGAGCCTGTCAAGCACATGTCCCCCGCGACGGGAAACAGGGACATGTATCAGTCCAGACACCGAGCCCGTCAAGCACATGTCCCCCGCGACGTTTCATGTGCTTCATATGTTCGGCTTTGTTGTTGTACCGAGCCCATTTCTGGTGTCCCCCGCCGTGCTGTTGCTGGAATATTGCTAAAAGCGGCGTAAAACCCAAATCAGTCAGTGTTGTTGTACCGCGCTGCATAAATTTATTAATTGCTCATAATTCTGATGTTCATGTTACGTAATATTGATTTTGTGATGTACTCTGACGGTATCGATGTCATAAAATATGCAACATTGCAGTACCCTCCGTCACAGGTGTTATGGTCTTACTATGTGTGCGCCTTAGAGTGTGTGCGCCTGAGTGTGTGTCTGTGTAGGTGTGCGCGTTCGTGTTCGTGTTCGCGTGTGTATATGCATGGCCATGAGATAAAGCGAGTGTATTCTTTGGCTATCTTTTCACAGAAACGACATGGGTTTACTCTTATTTCACATTTATTGGGGGTGGGGGTTTAGCTTAATGGTTAACGCCTTCGTTCGACACGCCGAAGACCGGGGTTCAACTCCCTACATGGGTACAATGTGTGAAGCCCATTTCTGGTGTCCCCGCCATGATATTGCTGTAATATTGTTAAAAGCGGCGTAAAACTAAACTCACCCACTCACTCTTTGGCCAACTGTGTTTTTGATTGGTGGTTGGATTTTTTCTGTGTGATTGTGTGACTGAGTGTGAGTGTGTGAGTCTCACTCACTCACTCACACACGTACACTTCCTCCTACTTGAGGGTTCCTCGATAATAAAGAGACACGGGTAGCCCAGGTATCTGAGGCGCGGCAATTGGCTGTGAGTTGCGCCCCCTTGCACACCAGAATCCTGTGATTGTGGGTTCGAATCCCGATTCGCACTGATTCTGTTTGAACGTTTGTCGGCACCATACACGTGTTCGTGGGTTTCACACAAGGGACCTGATTTACTCGGGGATTTCGTCCCTTATTAAGTTGACACCCCTATAACTGGAATACTGTTTAATCCAAGCCCTCTTGCTCACTGACTGATCCATGGTACTCCCTGCTCCAAGTCACAGAAGCATTGCCCTGACAAAATCACAAAGATAAACATCCACTAAGTTGTTTTACATTCATGTCACGTCGTAGCATGTCTACATCATCCACCGAGGTGCCTTAACTGTCAGTGCAGAGTTGCCTGCCCTTGCTGTTAACATCCCCAAACCATTTCTTTCGTCACCAATCGCCTTCAAGAAGACGCTCGTCTTGTCCCGGAATAACACGAGTGGGTCACGAATGTCATTTTGCAGGTTACGGAAAGGGACGAGTGGTGACGAAAGGCCAAAAAGTTTGATCGACTCCCGACCTACCTCTTACAATACATATCTGTGTTCGCTGAAGTTTTTCAAATTGTAAATTTCTACGGTTTTTGAACTTCCCGCCAGTAGGAAATATTACAAACATGCCGCTTGAGCAGCGGAGATTTGGCATAGGCAAGGGACGTAACTCGGGCGCAACGGAAGACATGTTGTCTCATCAATATTCCCTCTCTGACGGAGTTCACAGATTTTACCTTTGGGGGGTATTGTATCTGAGTGACGGTTTTGACTTGAATGAGATTAACGTTATGTTGCAGCCTTGCTCACAGCAGACTCCGGAAACCAGGCTGGTTTTGTTGATCACATACACTCTGCTCCCCTCGGCTTATACGAAATGTATAGACTGGAGATGAGCCGAATGAATCAAACGTTTACTTCCTGGAATGGCTTGAAGACGCCGTGAGGTCGTAGTCTGTAGAAGAGGAACTCCAGCATGTGGATGTCGTAGTGATGTAGGTAGTGGAAGGAGATGGGGTAGACGCTCATGGTGTCGGTGCCCTGAAAAACACGAAACTTACAAATTAAACGGTTCTGTTGGTAAATTTGTGTAATTTTTTTGTGATTCCTTATTATTTCGGAAACCTGGAAACTGCATCCTAAACTTCTCAAATATTGTACTTCTTTTATGTATCACTGATCCCATTCTATATAACGTATCACATGCGTGACGCATGACGTTATAAACATTATTAATGACACATGACATTATAAATAACTCATAATCTATCCGAGGTATGAAATTCGATTATTTACGAATCAGCGTATTATTAATGACGGATAGAATTGTGAATTACGCGTCACCTGTGCGACGCGTAGTATTATAAAAGGCGCATGACATTATTAATGACGGCATGATATTATGAATAACGCATCAAATGCGTGACACATGACATTATTAACGGCGCAGCGCATTACTAGTGACGCATATGACATTATAAACGGCGCAGCGCATTATTAGTGACGCATGACATTATAAACGACGCAGCGCATTATTGGTGACGCATGACATTATGAATAACGCATGACATGAATAAATCATTATGAATCATCACACAGCAGATGGATGATTATTCTGCGTCAACAAAAGTGGATGTTTGACTGAAACGCGCGCACGCACGCATACACACAAACGCACGTACGCACACACTACTTTTCAAACGCATATTTTACAAAGTCCATTGTTCAAGGGGCTCGGTCGTGTATCGCGATATAGAAACCTATGTGTACAATATACCGCGTGATCCTCTAAAGAACGTGGGGCGTTGGGGAAGCCTAGTGGTTAAAGCGTTCGCTCGTCACGCTGAAGACCCGGGTTCGATTCCCCACATGGGTACAATCTGTGAAGCCCATTTCTGGTGTCCCCGCCGTGATGTTGCTGGAATATTGCTAAAGGCGGCGTAAAACTAAACTCACTCACTCTAGAGAACGTACCTGTCTGTACCGATCTCCCATAAAATCACGGTACCACTGTTTCGCATCGCCTACAGCATGCAAATCAGCTCGATCGTAATGGAACCTGCTGTGCCCCATACGGTCTGTCGTGTCTCCGATCTCCACACCCAGGTGACGTAGGCAGTAGCCGATCTCCTTATCCTCTGGCCCCATCGGGTCCGCACAAACGCTTCTCAGAAGCGAGAGTTCCCCGTAACGTCGTAGAGCCTCCTTGCTGAGGACGTAGCCGGCCCCTCCGCTGTTGTAGCGGAGGTATTTAGTGTCAAACGGGTTAAAAAACTCGCCGAAATATACAGGTGATTCAGGATTCTCATCGCTTAAAAAATATTTTAAATTTTCCATGACGATATAGGTGTCATCGTCCGCCTTAAGAAACCATTCAGCGTCATTTATATGATATTTGTGGATGTATTTGAGGGAGGTGAAGGTTTTGGCAGCTAGGTATCTCTTTCCTTCCTGTGTTCTTAGATCTATGGCGGAGAACTCGTCATCGACGCCAAAGAACAGGAGCTTATCACAACGTTTTCCCCACGTAGCACGCAAAGCTCTGGCCTTGACATTGCCGCTCTCTCGAATCATCACCCAACACAAGATCCGGGTCCTGTTCAGCACTGCCTGGGCCAGTCTGTCATCACCTGGCAGGTCAAGGTTATATATCAAGGTCAAGGACACTGAAAACTTTGATACCACTTATTGAATTAAGAACTTACTATAGAAATAATGTAACTCTTATATAAGAGGGATATAAGTGAGATATGTTGCAACAACAAACTAGATATATAGTAGTCTGTTGTACCATTTGTGTTTATTATTTCAAGCAGAGGCCATAAAATATTCAGCTTATGGTCTATGTTCCAGGCTAATATTACAGATGCGATACATATATATCCTAAACTTACGATCACGATTCTTTTGATGCGCAACTGAGGTCACCTCTCGGGAACTGTATTTCGAAAGCTCCACGCATCAAAGCAATGCTTTATTGTTCCATATACTATTCTCTAACGCTCCCGTCTTGGGTTTTTAATGTACATTAAGAAAATCCGTTTTTTCCTTCCCAAACATGAAAAGCTCCAAAGGAGGTACTCCTGGTAATATTTAAACTAATCCAGTTCTTGGGCCAGTCATACGTCAGCCTGCTGAAAGAATTTGGTTTCTGCTGATAATGTACTCGCGAACGTTCCTGCTTGTAACGCAATGACCATTTCACTATTCCATGTACAGTATAAACATGGTGGTAGAATGGACTACGGAAGGCTGAATATCGATATCCCACGTGTTTTATGGACGGACAATTGACATTCAGGTAAACAGACTGTGCGAGTATCAGGACATCTGGGGTCCCACGCCGTGATATTGCTAAAATATTGCTTAAAGCGGTCAGGGTATGGCCGTGTAAGAAATCCCCAAACTCCACCCTTTTAACGCCCTGTTCCGGACCTGTAAGCCAGTACTCACCACCATCACTTCTCTTCTCTTCACTCAGCAGTCGCTCTATTGTGTCCTCCTGCAGTTCCTTCCCTTCCCTGGAACCTGTGTTTCTATTCGCCACTAGATGGGGCTGCATAATTACCATGGTAACAAATCCTAGGACGAAACCATAGAATACTAGAGTCCTCTTCGATGTGAAAGTCAGTCTTAGAATAAAAATTTTAAATATCTTGTGTACTCTCATTTTAAGAAATCGATTATTGAAGAGCGAAGTGGACCCTCCTATCATTATCTATATGGTTTCTGAATCGATACAACCTCATTACAATCAATCGTCAACGTTGTTAATTTGTATATTAGGGTCAAGGTCAAATTCAGTGTCGACAATGACGACGTTTTACACCAGAGTATGCCACGTTGCAGTGTAGCGGTTAGATCAAAGCACAAATAGAATCAAACCACACAGCATGAAGTGTCGCGTTCCTTCGTCCACATCTTTTTGTCAATCCCTTGCAATGTATCCGAGAAAGACACGGACTCTAAATTCTCGCCCATGGCGTTGCTTCGCCACGTCTGAGTATCCAAAACTCGTGTGATAATGTGCAGACATGCAGCATGGATATCCTATTGACTGTCACTGGTTTTGTTCGCCTGCCGCAGATCCATACAGGGCTGCGGTGGCGTCAGCTGGTGCCATTGACCTGCCACCGCTTGACGGTATTGTCGACGTCAGCAGCTGGTGCATATCAAACACTTCGGTGGGTCATTGTAAGATGTATTATTGTAACAGTGTGTTTTACATCTCGAATGAGAATCTACTGGGCAAAACAAATAATATGCCCATGTTTGATGGAGGTTAAAAAAGAGGCAATCAATAAATGAGTGAGTGAGTTTAGCTTTACGCCACACTCAACAGTATTCCAGCGGGCTGGTCTGGTCCAGATAATCGAGTCTGGACCAGACAATCCAGTAATCAACAGCATGAGCATCGATCTACGCAATTGGGATACGATGACATGTGTCAACCAAGTCCCGTCCGTCATTTGAGTGAGTGAGTGAGTGAGTGAGTGAGTGAGTGAATATTACACAACACTCAGCAATATTCCAGCTATATGGTGGCGGTCTGTAAACAATCGAGTCTGGACCAGACATTCCATTGATCAACAGCATGAGCACCGATCTACGCAGTTGGGATACGATGACATGTGTCACCCAAGTCAGCAAGCCGGACTAGAGATCCCGTTAGTCGCCTCCGTCATTTGACTTGGCAGTGGTTCGGTGATTGTTTTTACTCCAGTAAGGTTCAAATCGTTTCCAGTTTTCAGGTGTATACTTTCAACTGCCCTGTGGTATAATTGTAAACCGAACGAATGTCGTGATGATTTGGTTTTGTGTATATGTCGGAGGGAAAGGGAATGTTCAACTATAAATCGCTGGCAATTCGCTTTTTAGATGACTCGAGCTGGTGATTAAGGACACCGTGTGTATATTATCCGAAATTCAACAAGGTGCCTCAAATTTGGTCGCAGAACTTTGTTGATCCTAAGACAAATGTAAATTAGTTTTACGCCGCTTTTAGCAGCATTCCGGTAATATCCCGCAGATATGCCAACCTCTACGATTTTAGTCGCTACGAATTTTAGTCTCAAACTACGCCAATACGATTGCACTAGAAATGCTACGAAATTTGAAGAAAATTCATTTAAATTCGGATATATTGACTAAAACATATATTTTCGTCGCTTAAATGCATTTTCGCCAAAAAGAGAGTGAGTGAGTTAATATTTAACGTCACATCGGCAATATCGCAGCCATATCGTGACGAAAACAATTTATACAATAAAAAGTGAAATGAGAACATTTGACATTGAAATGGAAGCCAAAAAGAGACGAGAAGAAGGAACGTTATGCTGGTAATTTGGAAATCTGCTGTTGGAGGTGTGTGAAATTAAAGCTTCACTCTTGATTAGTGTCATATTATCTTTCTCAGAGTCCATAATGATTTTAAGTATTTAATTGACTATTAATTTTATGGTCAAACTACAAATTCTGATCCTTGAAAGTACTATTTGCAACACTTTGGGGTTGGCATATCTGTATCACGGCGGGGAAACCAGAAATGGACCCATCATTCGTCACCATTCGTCCTTTTCCGGAACCTCCAAGAAGACTCTTCCCCACTCTCGATGAATGCTATATACGAAAATACAACGAACCAATCAGAACGCGCGTAATTATTGCGTTACTCACATAGAAATAATCCCAAGTATTTAAATCGTTTATGGGATCGTGTGATTGTAAAAATCATGAAAAATATGTGTCAGCATGTTGAAATTGTGTTGCCTGATATGAAGTTTTCAATAAACGTGTGTTTGTTTACTTACCGACTTACGTGGGCACAACTGAGACCTTTTCTGACGAACTTGCAGGCTTGTTTTGAAGATTGTACATTTTCAGGAATCATCATTATATATCGCTAATTATAAATTGTTTCAAAACAATTGATATTTATGGGCTTACATCTATGGGACATTTTAGTCTGACGTTTTGGGGTAATTCATTTTTTTTTTTCATTTTCAGCTAATTTGTTAACAAATTCCATGTTCTTCCTTCTCTAGGTTGTATCAAAGAGGTTTATTTCTTTAACTACATAAATAAATGAAATGATAAAAAAAACCCAACAGCAATACAGTTTATGGGTGCTTCAGCGAGTTTAAGTACCATGATTGGAAACAAACAGACATAGAGTTATCGTTCTTATTGGAAGAAGTTCTAATGTTCGTGCGCCATAACATCGTTCCTGAGGGACACGAGTCGGTATTCCGCTTCTCCTGGAACAACACGAGTTGGTTACGGATGTATACCCGTGTGGGGAATCGAACCCTGAACCCGGGGCGAGCGAACGCTTTAATCACTAAGCTACACCAAAGCCCGACCCGGGTTAGAGATTGATCTTCAGCACCCATGCTTGTCGTTAAAAGGCGATTAATTAGATCATGGGTCAAGCTAATTTGGATGGTGCATGTCATGTTATCCCAATAACTTGTATCGATGCTATTAGCATGAGTCACTGGGTGTGAGAGAGTCTGTCATACAGACCCTGAAGTAGTTATATCCAAGAAATCCCACGCTAGTCTAGAACATGTGGCAAGTGTAGATTTCCACAGCTTCAGGATGAAGAAAGTCTGAGGGCTCCTTTTCAATATATTTTATTTTTTTCACTTTGAGCTTTTTTCTGTAATATATGTTCATTTCAGAGACTAGTTGTTAGCCTAGGTGTGAGAGTGTGTTTGTAATTCTTTCGTGAACGTGTTTTTTCCGGTTTGGTAGTATTACGTTTTCAAACTGGAATTTTATTAAACCGAGGAGCTAAGGAAACGATACCTCTCTACTGAATTTATTATTTGATTTTAAGTTTAAATTATGTTAAATTAGCAATATTATATTCAAAGTTTACTTCACTTTGGCTTAGTGATTAGACACATATTTAAACTGTAATTATATTTACAAATAACAAACAAAAAGTTACATTATTTTTGTATCACATACGCAATAGGATATCTTAGACATGCCATATTTGAACATGAATTAACACAGACGTAAATATAAAAGTTAAAACATTTAAGCATAGTAGGCGTAGTGAGGCTGCAAATTGATTTATTTTGAGACAAACCTACTCAGCCACAAATTATCTTTTGCAAACAGTGCAGGAATGGGTAAAGTTTCTAAAAGAATATTGACAACAGTTTTTCAATTTTTGAATTAAAAAAAATACTAAGCTCGGTACAGTAAAGTTTCCGGGGCAAATTCTGAAATCACTTTACATCTTGATCTTCCTGAGCGGGGGCGGTGGGGTAGCCTAGTGGTTAAGGCGTTCGCTCGTCAGGCCGAAAACCCGGGTTCGATTCCCCACATGGGCACAATGTGTTAAGTCCATTTCTGGTGTCCCCCGCCGTGATATTGCTGAAATATTGTTAAAAGCGGCGTAAAATTAAACTCACTCACTCACTCTTCCTGAGCACTGTTTACAACCATGCTGCTATAACGATTTTTGTCTCTCAAAACAATTGGTCCATGGTCGGAAGTTGAATTATGAATATCATAATAAAGGTATACTATACACCTCAAAACAATGGCCGTGCGTGCGTGTTTGTTAAATTTGCCTGTTGTGCCACGATATTCGACCAGGAGTACGGATACAACTGGGACTCCATCATTTCCGCGGGAAACAGTCGCCCCGTCGCCTCACCGGAATGTGATGTGCTGAGATGCGTCCCTTGAATTAATCATTAATTTAGCGTTCGAATCGTGGCACCATTCGGATCCAAGGATTTTCGAAGGGGGAAGACCGACTGACTGACTGAGTTTAGTTTTACGCCGCTTTTAGCAATATTCCAGCAATATCACGACGGGGGACACCAGAAATAGGCTTCACACATTGTGCCGATGTGGGGAATCGAAACCGGGTCTTCGGCGTGACGAGCCAAAGCTTTAACCACTAGGCTACCCCACCGCCCCCAAAGGGGGAAGAGGTGTGCGTGCGTGCGTGCGTGCGTGTGTCCGCCAATGCAAAACATTAAGTTCAATGTGGTCTTTAGTCAATTTCAGTCAACCCCGGTTTCTAGGTTTGGTTGTACCCCCGCCGTAATATTTCTGCAAAGATGGCTAAAAGCGGCGTAAAACTAAACTCACTTCTAAGTTTGGCAGTACCATACCCCATGCCAGAAGGTTTCACCAAAGTGGCAACCTTCCGGGTCCTGTTTCACACTGAGATTTCATTCCCCATTACACTGACATGACCCGTGAAGATCCGGGTTAGAACTGATCTTCAGAAACCCATGCTTGTCGTAAGAGGCGACTAACGGGATCGGGTGGTCAGGCTCGCTGAGTTGGTTGACACATGTCATCGGTTGCCAATTGCGCAGGTCGATGATCATGCTGTTAATCACTGGGTTGTCTGGTCCAGACTCGATTATTTACAGAGCGCCGCCATATAGCTGGAATATTGCTGAGTGCGGCGTTAAACAACAATCAATCAATCAAACGCTGACAGGTCGTGTCATAATGTGTAACAAAGGCGCGGTTATCAAAACTCACTCACTATCTAGATTATATTCAAAGGGATATATAGCTGTAATATTGTTGATTGTTGAGTAAACCAAACACTGGTTTATCCTCCAGTCAGTCGTCGTTGCTGGAAGCTCACCTTCAGAACAAGTAAACAACACATAGAGTGAGTGAGTGAGTGAGTGAGTGACAACACATAGATTGCTGATTGTTTATTAAGGGATCATGCATGTTCTACATTTGACGTGGACACGGCAGCTGTCAACCCTGATGGTTGATCGTGTTATATAATGAATATACACGCATGTTATAAATAGGAATGCGTAGCTGGAAATTCCATCTTAGTTGCGGAACGTCACCGGTACGTCGCCCCTGAAATGAAATCAAGTTTAATAATGAAATCTAAAAAAAAAAATCCAAAGAGAAAAAAATAGCAAACAAAACAAACACCATTCACTAAAATTAGCAGATACAGCTATATCTCTATGGCTATGTCGGTCTTTTTTAGGTGTAATTGGTCAGGGAAAGAAACCTTCACAATATCCCACTAGACCACAGGACCAGTGAGTGGACAATAATTGGTGGTCCTGTCTGTACTTCACTGGTCCAGAAAAACATTCATAGATTTACTACCAATACAAAATTCACTGGCCACCAGGACCACTGCAAACGTATCATTTAGTGGTCCTGATGATTTTTTACTAGCCATGGACCACAGGACCAGCGTAAATTTCGCACACTGTTGATACTGGAAAAGGATTTAATAGTTCACGTGTCTATCGCATTAAACAACCTAGCCCTTTGATAGTAGTAATTAAATGTGAATCGATACCAAAGTTTGTACATAATTTATATGAACCAAAACACTTTGTTCTCGAAAGCAATAGACACTGGAGCACGTGTTACATGATGTGTGAAGGATATGAAAACTAACAAACATTCAGTGAACTCTTTCATCACAACACATTTCTCGCCTGTCAAATATTTATCTTCCTGATGAATATAGTTGGTCAGACTTGATTTTGTATAATCAAGGTTTGTTTTCACAAAAGCCACATATCCCACAGACGTGATTCGGGACGAGGCAACATCGGGGGTCTACCTTGCTCTACAAAACTAGGGGTGCAGAGGACACCCAACTTCAAGGATCCTTAAGAGCAATATGAGTGGTTAAAGTGTTCGCTAGTCTCACCGAAGACTCGGGTTCGATTCCCAAACATCGGAGTGTAACCCATTTCTGATGTCCGCCGCCGTTATTTGGCTTGAACATTGGTGAAAACGGCGTAAAACCTTATTCACTCACCCACTCACACCAAGCAGACGCAACGAGACAGAACTGAAATAGTGTTAAACTAAACTCCCTCACTAACTCACCCCGTGTGGGCATCAGGAACATAGAAGCAGTCAATACGAAGCGTGACGCATGTCGCTCCGCCGAAGGTCACGGTATCGCCGACGGCAGGGTCGTCCGATGTCGACTTGCTTCTCATGACGTTGTTGACAGTCAACAACTTCGTCGTTCCTGTGCACGGGTGCATAGACACAAGGTTGCCAATTTTGTCTTGTACGCCAACGAAGTCCCCGGCCTTGGCGCTCAGGGGCGTGTCGAACGTCCACGTCATTGCCCGTCCCGCCAAGCACTCGACTTGTTCCGTCGCCCTCAGGGTAAATTCATTTGGACTTCCGCTATCACAACATATATCAAGGGGGGTAAATACACTAGGGGGGTTACTCGATCTCGGGCTCTTTGTCAGTCTCATCAATATTATTTCAAGTCGCGCCCTGAAACCTGTGCATATCTTTCTTCATATGTCGTTTCGACCCATTTAAGACAACTGTAAGTCCCACTTTTTATCATAGACCCTCGATGCTCATGCTGTTGATCACTGGATTGTCTGGTCCAGACCCGATTATTTACAGACCACCGCCATATAGCTGGAATATTGCTGAGTGCGGCGTAAAACTAACCTCACTCACTCACTTTATCATAGACCCAATAGAAGAACAATGAGCACATTCAGGACATTACCATTTAGAATGACTGACTGACTGACTGACTGAGTTTAGTTTTACGCCGCTTTTAGCAATATTCCAGCAATATCACGGCGGGGGACTCTAGAAATGGGCTTAACACATTGTGCCCATGTGGGGAATCGAACCCGGGTCTTCGGCGTGACGAGCCAACGCTTTAACCACTAGGCTACCCCACCGCCCCCATTTAGAATGATATTGCGGTGAACGAAAGGAACATTCCAACATTGTGATCTGCTAAAAATAGATTCCCAAGTACCCAAGCAATATACTCACGTTGAACTCCAGAACTGGATGTTCAATGCGCCGTCGTTTCTGCAATAAGCTCGGCATGCTTTCACTGACGAATCCACGGGTACACTCAAGTATGGTGAAGGTCCAGCCAATATTTGATTTTCTCCCGTAGCTTGGCGGCTGTCTGTTAGCTCGTAGTAGTTCATCTGCCTTGGAGCTGTGGCGCCATCTAGCCAAAATATACGTGTCAAATGTGTTATAGTTTGGGATGGCACGTTCTCAGTGAAGTACAGATTCTAGTACTTTTGTTTGGTTGAGTGGCATCCGGGCTTCGAACCCACATGCTCATAGTCGCATGGAAGTCAACCAACTGGTAATCTTGTTCATTACTTTGTGTACCCCTCTGACAAGTCTTTAGAAACTGGAATATTCTCCAATAGGTTTCACCTAAAGTTCACCTTCAATGGTATTCACCTAAAGTTTGCCTCCATTACCTAAAGTTCGCCTCCAATGGCATTCACCTAAAGTTCGCCTCCAATAGGTTTCACCTAAAGTTCGCCTCCAATGGCATTCACCTAAAGTTCGCCTCCAATAGTATTCACCTAAAGTTCACCTCCAATAGTATTCACCTAAAGTTCGCCTCCATTAGTATTCACCTAAAGTTCACCTCCAATGGTATTCACCTAAAGTTCGCCTCCAATAGTATTCACCTAAAGTTCGCCTCCAATGGTATTCACCTAAAGTTCGCCTCCATTACCTAAAGTTCACCTCCAATGGTATTCACCTTAAGTTCGCCTCCAATAGTATTCACCTAAAGTTCACCTTCAATGGTGAAGTTTGTTTCCATTACCTAAGGTTCACCTCCAATTGTATTCACCTAAAGTTCGCCTCCAATAGTATTCACTTAAAGTTCGCCTCCCATAGTATTCACCTAAAGTTCGCCTCCAATAGTATTCACTTAAAGTTCGCCTCCCATAGTATTCACCTAAAGTTCGCCTCCAATAGCATTCACCTAAAGTTCACCTCCAATGGTATTCACCTAAAGTTCGCCTCCATTACCTAAAGTTCACCTCCAATTGTATTCACCTAAAGTTCACCTCCAATAGTATTCACCTAAGTTCACCTTCTGTAGTATTCACCTAAAGTTCACCTCAAACAATTTTTAACTAAAGTTCACCCTCCAATACCTTTCAACTAAAGCTCAGGTAAGAGTTCCTCCCGTTCCCCCATCCCAAATAATATTTATAACAAAACTTAACACAACAATTACTAGAGAACTCACAAAATGATTAAAAGTCCAAAATTTAAGTTAGGGTTAGGTTTAGGATTAGGTTGAGGGTTAGGGTTAGGTTTAGAGTTAGGTTTAGGGTTGGGGGAACAGAAGGAACTCTTTCCTCGCTCGAGAAACGCAGAGACAAACAGAGACAGAACGATGTGTACATTCTATTTTAACTTTGAATGCACATGATCATACAGAAACAAGCTTTCGTGTGGGACTGAATGGGACTATGTTGGATATGGTCCTCAAAGAGACGATAACTTTTGCGCCAAATCCTACACATTCACACGTCCGCCATTCAGTAAGGTTTTTGAAGCGCGGACCTGTCAATCAGACTGGCGGTGATCAACATCGCACAGGTATCACGTGACATGACACAGCACGCCGTTTGTACACTACAGCATGTTCTTGAAGACGCCTCTGATGCGTGGGGCCGGTGGGGTAGCCTAGAGGTTAAGCGTTCGCTTGTCACGCCGAAGGCCCGGGTTCGATTCCCCACATTGATACAATATGTGAATCCCATTGTCGCTGTCCCCCGCCGTGATATTGCTAGAATAATGCTAAAAGCGGCGTAAAACCCGCTGATGAGTGGACAAGCTTGTTTGACCCCAGGTCCCTGAACCACAATATATTACCTTCCATCCAGTCCTTTCTACAATGCATAAGCTCACATCAAGCAAGTCAAGAGGGGCTCTTTTCAGTTTAAATGTGGATATTTGTTCCTCGATAAAAATTATAAATTTTCATTTGATGCGTTTTTTTCTGGGACATGCTTTTTGGACCAGTGAGGTATTGGTTTAACCTACTTGGTTTCCGCCCGTAGGTGAAGCAGCGAAACTTTTGGGGAAATACGGATAACTTGCCGGGTCAAGCTACATGCCATGTCATGACTCGTGCTTCTGTCGTGACCATTTTTGAGACTGGGTTCCTTCTTTGCTAAAACTGGCATAGCTCAAAGATTTATCAACTCAAGGGATTTCACATATCATAAATATATTTAAAATATATCGGAATGAAGATGATATACAGTATGCGTGATTACAATAAAAAAACCTTTGGTTTATAAAAAAACCATAATCCTGAAAAATCTATTGACAAAAATATTTCAGGTCACGCACTCCTTCTGATGGCTTGTCGTTCTTTCGCCAAAAACCTCCACAGATCGGGGGACGCGTCAGGTTACGGAAAGAGCCGAGTGGTGACGAATGTCTATGGGAAAGTCTCACCTTCGCATATGATGTCAGTTCCGGTAAGAGTCCCATCTTGTTGGCAGGCACGGATTCTATTTCCGCTCTGGTAGACATACCCGGAATCGCATTCGTAATTGACGACCTTGCCGGTTTCCACGCTGGTGGCGTCCGCCAAAACCCCAGCAGGGGGAGTGGGGACGGTGCACGTTCCTTGGAGGTTGAGAAACAGTGATTACACATACTTAACATCCTTAATGACATCAAAACAAATTCATTGTACCTTTGGAGGACGAGGATAAAAATTATATATCGTAGTTTCTAAATCATGTTCTCGTTGCTCCTGTAATATTGCGGCCCAGTTACTCCACCTGCTCCTCTTCTTCTTCCTCCTCCTCCTACTACTACTACTACTACTACTACTACTACTACGACTATTGCTACTGGGTTAGATTTGGTCTTCAGCAACCCATGCTTGTCCTAAGAGGCGACTAACGGGATCGGGTGGTCAGACTCCTTGACTTATTTATGCATGTCGTCGTATTCTAGTTTGGAGGTCGATGCCCCTGATGTCTGGAATAGCTGGAATATTGCCGAGTGCAGCGTAAAACTAAACTCACTCACTCACTATCACACATAACACAATCACCATGACAACACCCACCTGGTGCACAGTTCCCGGAAGTCTTTTCGCAGAATTCCTTGGCAAAACTTGCGCTGTAACCCAGGTTAGGATTGCCGCTGAGAATTGTCGCACAGTCGCCCTTCTTGTCACTACATGACCCAGACCCTCCTGAATCAAAACATTACATTCGGATCAGTACAGGGACATGACATCAATCCGAAAATACAAGAATTGTCTTATTAAATTAAGTAAACGGTCTCACCTGCCATTGGTAGCTTGCACAAAGCATACGCAGCGTGTTTGTTGAGGTTCGTCTTCGCCAGCTTGTTGGCATATCTGTGGTGACCTGGCAACAGCCATGCCATGTTGGTCGCGGGGTTTCCAGAGATACCGTTAGCTGAAGACACGTGGAAAGACAAATACCATGATTTCTTTCAAGGAACAACGGTAAATACGGGTTTGTTGAGGAACTTTCGACAGTATTGAGGTAGCTCAATTGGACGTGCCACAACCTGATGTTCTCGGGTTCGAATCCCGGGTTATGTTTGTATGTTTCTAGGTCCGCACCACACGTGGGTTAACACCTGCCACCTGCAACACCTGATTTTCCTTCCTAATAATTTGAAAATGCGTTCAACGGAACACGGTTATGACGAACTACAATTGTTCTCTTTGAGTTCGTTACACCCGGAGTTGACTCTGTAGTGCGTGATTATACGGACTGAGTATAACATGTACAGCCTTTGGCCATTTGACCTACATTATACAACAAGCACGGATGACATACATGTTCTCGAAGAGGTATAACGTTTACACTAATGAATAGATAAGAATGACAATACACGATATCGGTGGATAGTTCATTGAGATACGATACACGATACGATTTTCACAGTATCACAAGAAGAAGATATATTTGCTGAAACAGTTTTACTTATTACTCACTAAGGTTACATTATCCCCACCCAACTCTCTCTCAGTCAAGACGTTCTGTCCCAAGTATTGCAAAATATTTAGCAAACAAGAAGACAAAGTCATCAATATCCCCCGCAATGGCAAAATACCCTTCATGAATATGGCATCAGTTCACCACTAGACCTACCTATGTATGACATTTGGTGATGAAACAGTGAACAGTTTTTAAGTAAAGAGCACTACCACCAATTTCAGTCTAAGTCAAACTTGTTGCCATGCAAACGCAAAAAATATTTTATTCAGAAATCCAAAACTATCAAAAGGGCACCAGTAAACCACCAGATCTATCTATGTGTCAAGTTTGGTGAAGAAATATTAAACGGTTTTGGAGTTATGCTCCGGAAAAGACTAATGTGGACGGACGGACGGAGTGCTTTTTAATACCCCCGCAAAACGCATCTCCTTACTGAAATGAACATAATTTTACAGAAGAAATGGTTTCTAAATTAGATTTATATCTAGACTTACAACATATTCCAGACTTTTAGGCTGTAGGGTCTGTATGACAGACTAGTTTTCTACAAAAAAATAATCGCTTTGAACATATGTCGGCATCTATTTTTCCTGCTCTGAAATATACTCAACAAATAAGGTTAAGGACCACCCCAATATTTAAGTATTATATAGATCATACTATGAACTATTAAATACTTTAATATTGAAAATGGGGGGTGGTCCTTAATTGTTTTGTTGAGTATATGTTTCGACGCGGTTTGCCGTGAATATGCGCAACACGATACCTGCATGTACCTTGCTGTGACTTAGTATAGCTATACAAGCGAGTCCGGTAATTCCGCGCAGGCAGCTGCAATTGCGTACTTCCGTATCGAAGGTAAACATCGTCTGCTACCACGTTTACGCTTGAAATCGGGACATTTCTACAATGAACTGGCTTTTAATCACTAAAGGTAAGTAAATAACAGTAATTGGCAGATAAATTGACAGTTTTATGAAAATTCGTTTTCTTCAGACTTTTAAACCTTTTTCTTCATTATTCATAATTGGATTTAATATGAAACACTCTTCCTTACATTGATGAAGTGATTTTTGAAAATAATCTGGTCCAAATACGCTTCCATACTTTGGATCTCCAGCTGGATGTTATGCGCATCAGTTGCTGGGCAGAATTACCGGACAGCAAGCGATGTCGTCAGAACGCCGGTAAGGTCAACCGCATAATGCAACGTTAGAATCTTATAGTCGTCAATAAAACTTATATTTCTAGGTAAGTATGATGAATACAAGCATGTTTAGTCACGCACACCAAAAGAATAAGAGACGTTAGTTGCCGTGTTGCGATCGATGTGCTTGTGTGCGCGGAATTACCGGACGGCATTGTATACATGGTCCCTGGCTGTTTGTCTTCTGTGGAGAAATATACATGCATTGATATTATTTCTTACCATTTCCGTTTTTCCACAGGTATGTGCCCACTACAGATGATCCATCGAAGTCACTGACCCATCCTGATCCGCTAGGGGTCATCCCAAACCAAACTTTAGCACTGCTAAGTCTGTGAATGCAACAGATATAATAGTGCTTAACTTTAAATTAATACTGAAAAATGAAACAACAGAAGGCAATTCGGGTTGGTACGTGGTAATATAGTTGCTTTAAGTTCAACATTTCGCGGATAATACATATCGGCAAAAATCGCATTTCTTGTCTTCACAGCCGTGATATTGCTGGAATATTGCTAAAAGAAGCGTAAAACCCTATTCCCTCACTACCAAACAACCAGCCGATTTTTAGATCGCTTCGTTCGACAAGCATAATTACGTTACATTTTGAGCACTTGCGAGTGAAGCTGCATTCACGGATAATGGCGGAGCGGAAGGTCTGGTCGATGAAGATTGTGTGTTGATTTAGTTGGGGAATATCATACATCGGTCTGTATCAGTATACCGATATCTAAACTACCGTCCAAAAGAAAGTATACCACTAATTTCGAAAGCCAATTAAACGACAACAAACACGATGTCAACAATATATGTTTATATTTCATTAGAGTATTCGTTCTTGCATTATTTAAACATGAACACACGTCAGAAATAACAATGATAAAGAAATGAAAATGAAACAAACACATGGGGTAGGTGGGGTGGGGGTGTGTGGGTGGGGGTGTTGGTGTTGGTGGGTTCTAAAAATGGATCATAACAAGAAAACTGAACAAACAGAAAGTTTGTCAAAATGCCAGGTACACAATTTAGAGCCATGTACCACCTAAGTAGCGAGTATGTCCTTGAGCATTGACACAAGCAACAATACGCCCGCGCATGGATGACGTCAAGCGTCTAATGACGTTGCGTGGAATCTGTTGCCAGGTGTCATTCTGGCACTGTTCCAGCTGTCGCACGTTGACTGGGGTTAGGAGCTAAACGTTCTCTAATACGTCTGTAGACACGTTGATGGCCATCAGTTGTGAATACGCAAAACCTGCTCTCATCCGAAAAGAGGACACGTGACCAATCTCGGACTTGCCAAAATCATAGGTTGTCTTGCCCACTGGAGCCTGTTACGCCGGTGTTGTTGTGTCAGTACCACCCCACGGTATGGACGTCGTGCTCGAATACCATGTTCACGCAGTCGTCGTGATACTGTCTGTCGACAGATACGATGTCCGAGTGCCGTTGTTGCCGTTGCTGCTGCCTGGATGAAGCGGTTCCTGGGGTGGATTACCCGGATGTAGCGGTCCTTCTGGGGCGTGGTCACCCGCGGTCTCCCACTTCTCGGCCTGTCTACTGTCTGCCCTGTCTGGCGGAGACGCTGAAACAACCTGGTGATGCATACCAGGGTGCAGCCAATACAAGGTTCTCGCGATGAGGGCATGTGACCCTCCTTGTTTGGCCATTCCTACGGCTCTCTCTCTGTGTACTGCGGTCAGGCGAGGCATTTTTCTTGTGTGCTTTTTTATTCTGTGACAATGCCTTGTGTCATGAGCTGCTTTAATACGGTTTTTATGCACGTGCCTTTTGTGAAGGCACGTGCATGTTACTTTTTCAGAAAATGAGCGTTTGAGCAAGACAGTTCGCGAGACGAGAAATTTGTCATTACACATAAGTTGCCATTACCTTGTCACATGTTTTTGTAAACTTTCCTGGATCTAGGTTCAAAATTAAGATCTTAAATGGCAAAAATATTTGGTATACTTTCTTTTGGACGGTAGTATATATGAACAACAGATATATTCGAGGACCACTAATATCGTATTTGTCATCGGATGACCGATAGATATATAAGTGATCAACGGATATTTTGTATGTTGTATAACCATACCCTCAACAGCATTCCATATATACATTGGCGGTCTGGACCAGACAATCCAGTGATAGACATCATGGGCATCGATCTACGCAGTTGGGATACTATGACATGTGGCAACCAAGTCAGCGAGCCAGACAACCCGATCCTTTTACTCGTCACTGAAGACAAGAATGGGTTGCTAAAGACCCATTCTAATCTGGATCCTCGCTGTCATGGATATCTAATTAACCAACAGCTATCTAAGTGAAAAAACGGATACCTAGTAAGTAACGAACGGATATGTTACTGACCAACGGGTATCTAAGTAACCAGCAGGTATCTATGTGATAAAGCGGATATCTAAGTCACCCACGCACATCTTACTAACCAACGGCTAAGTGACAAACAGATATCGGAGTGACAAACAGATATCAGAGTGACGAACGGATATTGGAGTGACAAACAGATATTTGAGTGACGAACGGATATTGGAGTGACAAACAGATATTTGAGTGACAAACAGATATCAGAGTGACGAACACATATCGGAGTGACAAACAGATATCAGTGACAAACAGATATCAGAGTGACAAAAATATATCAGGGTGACAAATAGATATCAGAGTGACTAACAGATATCGGAGTGACAAACTGATATCAGAGTGACGAACAGATATCGGAGTGAGTGATGAACAGATATCGGAGTGACAAACAGATATCAGAGCGACAAAAAGATATTGGAGTGACAAACAGATATTAGAGTGACAAACAGATATCAGAGTGACAAAAAGATATTGGAGTCACCATTAAATATCGGAGTGACAAAACGAATATTGGAGTGACAAAAGATATTGGAGTCACGAACAGATATCGGAGTGACAAATAGATATCAGAGTGACAAAATGATATCGGAGTGACAAATAGATATTAGAGTGACAAAATATATTGGAGTCACGAACAGATATCGGAGTGACAAATAGATATCAGAGTGACAAAAGATATTGGAGTCACGAACAGATATCGGAGTGACGAACAGATATCGGAGTGACAAACAGATATTAAAGTCACAAACAGATATCAGAGTGACAAAAAGATATTGGAGTCACCATTAAATATCGGAGTGACAAAACGAATATTGGAGTGACAAAAGATATTGGAGTCACGAACAGATATCGGAGTGACAAATAGATATCAGAGTGACAAAATGATATCGGAGTGACAAATAGATATTAGAGTGACAAAATATATTGGAGTCACGAACAGATATCGGAGTGACAAATAGATATCAGAGTGACAAAAGATATTGGAGTCACGAACAGATATCGGAGTGACGAACAGATATCGGAGTGACAAACAGATATTAAAGTCACAAACAGATATCGGAGTCAGAAACAGATATTGGAGTCACGAATAGATATCAGAGTGACAAACATATATTAGAGTCACGAACTAAGCAACAAACCGGAATCTACGGATATCAAACTGTTACTAAGTGGTTATAGGAAATGCGCGATTAACGAACACTCCCCGATCAACTAATGACTGTTGAACAGATGTAGAAATCAACTAATAACAGATAAACGGATATCAACTGATCGTTGATGAATGTCTTACCCCAGAACATTGTCTCTCAAGTCGACAATAATGTTATTGAGTTCGTCCTCGCTCTCGGGATACACAAGAACACTGTTTGCGTTCTCGTCTTTAGCGCACTCATCCCTTGCAGCGCGGCCTTTGAACGTTCCTGCTGGGAACTTGTAGCAGTTGCCGCTCCGCTCAATGAAACCAGCTGGGCAGCCTTTCAAAAACAGAACACATGTTCAGGATTGGTTGGTCAAGGCTAAAGAACAATTAGTCCCGATTCTGACGAGAAAATACTCTGGCGAAAAATACATGATTTATTTAGCTGGTTTGTTATTTAACGCCGCACTCCAATACTCCAGCAATGTGGCGGCGGTCTGTAGATATTCGAGTCTGCACCATACAATCCAGTGATCAACATCATGAGCATCGAATGGAATCCAATGAATCAACCTCGTCAGCGAGGACCACAGGATCCCGTTAGTCGCCTTTTACGACAAGTATGGGTTGCTGAAGACCGGATCTTCACTGGTTTTGTTCAGGAGGTAACGATGTACGCTGACACGAAATTTTAATTCACTCACTCTATTCGACAGCCTCGTGACTGTTATTTTCAACAATGTAGCTGCAATATTGGGGACATCAGAGACACCATTTGCGAGCCCCCCTCTGGTGTCCTCTGCCGAGATATTACTAAAAGCGGCGTAAAGGCCAAATCACTCACTCACTCGCACTGAAACATGCAGGACAGTGACCATACATACCTGAACAGAAATTATCCTGGGTTGACCATTGTCCATTCGACAAGCACACGAACTGCACGGCGTTGTCACCGGAGTTGCATTTGACGGTGATGCTTTCTCCAACATTATAACCGGCGGGGTTGACATTGAGGTTGGTCGTCCCTGCTGGCAACGTTGGGTCACCGCATGACACGTCTGGTGCTGGGAAGGGAAAATACGCCGGTTAGACTTGGAATTTACAAATTCTTCCGTTGGACCCGCAAAGTTGTTGTGTTGCCTTTAACTTAATTTCAATGTCAATAAAATATAACGCGAGGTCAGTATGAAATGTACTTGAATTCAACTATCTCAAAATGTAACATATGTTATATTTATGATTACACTTTCTTAGTAAAGTACAAATTCTAGTACATTTTGGGTTGAGTCCCACCCCGGGATTCGAACTCACACCCTCAGAGTCAGGCACCTAAGGGCCAGCACATAAAGTCAGCCGCTAAACCTGCACAGCCACCGAGACTTAAACAAAAATGGAAGTCGGACAACTGGTATTCTAGACTGCGGACTTTGTGTACCCCTCTGAGAAGTGTACATTGGCACGGCCGAAAGCTCAAAATGTCGCTACTCATAACTACGGTTATGACGAACTCAAAGGAAACTCATTTCATTTGTTATATCCGTTGTTCCTTACATGCATTTTGAATACAATATATAACAAATGACCGGAACAAAGGAACCCAGTTCCATGTATCGGTCAGTGTGTTATAAGCGTGTTCGTTTTAAACGAAGTATACGCTATTTAGAAATAGTGCTCTTCAAATTTCGGGACTGGACTTCTATACAAGGATGAGAGAGATTGATGGAGATGGGGCGATAGCCTTGGTGGGGGCGGGGGGTTGGGGTTGTAGGACAAGAGGGGCGAGATTCATTCATTCCAGAATAAACCAAAATAAGGTCTAGCTAAAGGATGCGTACATCCTTGGCACGGGACTACAAGAGTGAGTACATTTGAGAGTTATCGCCCCTTGTCCCTACCGGCGGCTTCCGCAGTAGGGTAGTCTGAGATGAGACCCGCGTCAGCGCACGCCTTGAAGCACGTTCTACACGTTTCGGGGTCGCTACATGTCTGGTCGAGGATGAGGGCTGTCTCGCAATCGTCGAAGACGTTGAAGGGTTTGACTGTTGAAAAATAAAGGCATTGTTTATAAAAACTCTCGATTTTACAAACTTTAAACCCGGTCCCAATTGTCCTCTGATTATGTTTCCCCTCTCCTGAACATGAGTGACTTATGCAGGTGTTGTAGGTTGACGGCAAACACTGCCTCTAGACCTTCCTACAACCTCACCTTCATTACGCCCCGTGACACTCAGAATGTTGTGAAACTTAAATTTATGCAAGAAGTTGGAATCCCTGTGGTCACCTGGCTAGCTGTTCTCGAAACATTCGTAGCCCTACGAACTTCGTAAGCCCATGCTTAACACATTGGCTACGATCAAAGTTAAGAATTCTTAGGGCTACGAACGTATCGAGAATAAGGGCCGTGATGTCCTCCTCGTCTGAATGACCTGTAATGCATATGTATCGGAATATTTGGTCGGATTGGCCACAAAACAACTTCTAAATGCCCTTCAAAGATTTCAGGAACGTCGACTATCTGATCATGGTCAGTGTTATATGGTACACATTTGTAAGGATAAGCAAATGTGATGCATCTGTGACAAAATATTGTCTGATGCAATTCCCTTTTTAGATTTGTAAGACAGGTTTTTCTGAGGTACACACTTGTCTTGGCTTTGCGTGTGTTTGAGAAGTGTGTTATTGGTGGGGCAGGATACGCTCTCCTGTTCGCGAACACCTGGTATAATCACTATTTCATAGATATTACGACATGGTCATGGCATAGTACAATTGTTTAAACGACAGTGACAGAAACGTCTCCAACTTCGATAATCTCCAGGGTATATGTTCCGATAAATCTCCTCTAGTACGCTGGATGCATCTATGGCTCGGCCCGATAATTTTATTACCTCCCTTTGCTGGCTCCGCATTCTCACAGTAGCCAATCAGCTAAGCCACCGTTACAACAGAGCCTGCCAGTGTCAACATAGACAGCGGTCTCAGCTGCGACGCAAATTTTTGGGGAAATCATACAGACAAATGGACAGGTCTGAAACTTTACCAAAAAACATGCAAGAACTCCTTCTACCTCTTTCAAAGTACTTCTGCATCAAGTGTGTTGCCAAGTTTAATCGGAAAGATAATTTAAGAAGTGAAAGTGAGTTGTGATTGGTACGCTCACCATCCCAGCGTAGACACCTGATTGGATAAAAAGCCAGCCTAGGGAGGTAATAATCAGGCCGAGCCGTAGATGCATCCAGGGTATGGCGGAGATTTATCGGAACATACACCCTGGAGATTATCGAGGATGGGAAAGGGTTTGGTGTTGTGTTTGTAAACCTCATGGCCGTACTTTTTTGTTCACATGACGTTAACCAAACCCACTATCTCTCATCATACACCCTGACGTGATATTGCTTGAATATTGCTAAAAGCGGAGTAAAACGGAATTCACTCACTCTCCATACGAACGAGGAAGACCCGCCAAGGAATAGAAATATCGGATTCACAAGGTTAAATGTTAGGTGATAAACAACAATACTCACTGAATTGCCCAACGTCACAGTAGGTGAAGGTCACGTTTCCCAAGTGTACGGAAGTGGCACAGTAGGGCATGAGTTTGAGTCCCCTCACATTTCGACAGTAGTTCGAGTCAAAGCCACAGATGTGATTCTGTGTTGAAGCTCTGTGTAAAACAGAAAATGTATTGTCAACAGAAGTACATACATGAAACTGGCGGTTATAAGGAACTGACAGATATAAGTAACTGTCGGTTATAAAGAACTGACAGATATAAGGAACTGTCGGTTGTAAAGAACTGACGGATATAAGGAACTGTCGGTTATAAGGAACTGGCGGATATAAGGAACTGGCGGTTAAAAGGAACTGACAGATATAAGGAACTGTCGGTTATAAAGAACTGACAGATATAAGGAACTGTCGGTTGTAAAGAACTGACGGATATAAGGAACTGGCGGTTATAAGGAACTGACGGATATAAGGAACTGTCGGTTATAAGGAACTGAGGGATATAAAGAACTGACGGTTATAAGGAACTGACGGATATAAGGAACTGACGGATATAAGGAACTGAATGTAATAAGGAACTGACGGATATAGGGAACTGACGGATATAGGGAACTGACGGATATAAGGAACAGACGGATATAAGGAACTGACGGATATAAAGAACTGACGGTTATAAGGAACTGACGATTACTGGGGAACTGACGGATATAAGGAACTGACGGATATAAGGAACTGAATGTAATAAGGAACTGACGGATATAGGGAACTGACGGATATTAGGAACTGACGGATATAAGGAACTGACGGATATAGGGAACTGACGGATATAAGGAACTGACGGATATAAGGAACGGACGGTTATAAGGAACTGGCGGATATAAGGAACTGGCGGTTATAAGGAACTGACGGTTATAAGGAACTGACGGATATTAAGAACTGACGGATATAAGGAACTGACGGATATAGGGAACTGACGGATATAAGGAACTGACGGATATAAGGAACTGACGGTTATAAAGAACTGACGGTTATAAGGAACTGACGGATATAAGGAACTGACGGTTAAAAGGAACTGACGGATATAAGGAACTGACGGATATAAGGAACTGACGGATATAAGGAACTGACGGATATAAGGAACTGAAGGATATAAGGAACTGACGGATATAAGGAACTGACGGATATAAATAACTGACGGATATAAGGAACTGAAGGATATAAGGAACTGACGGATACGGGAACTGACGGATATAAGGAACTGACGGATATAGGGAACTGACGGATATAAGGAACTGACGGATATAAATAACTGACGGATATAAGGAACTGACGGATATAAGGAACTGACGGGTATAGGGAACTGACGGATATAAGGAACTGTCGGATATAGGGAACTGACGGTTATAAGGAACTGACGGATATAGGGAACTGACGGTTATAAAGAACTGACGGTTATAAGGAACTGACGGATATAAGGAACTGACGGATATAAGGAACTGACGGATACAAGGAACTGACGGATATAGGGAACTGACGGATATAAGGAACTGACGGATATAGGGAACTGACGGTTATAAAGAACTGACGGTTATAAGGAACTGACGGATATAAGGAACTGACGGATATAAGGAACTGACGGATATAAGGAACTGACGGATATAAGGAACTGACGGATATAGGGAACTGACGGATGTAAGGAACTGACGAATATAAGGAACTGACGGTAATGAGGAACTGACGGATATAAGGAACTGACAGTTATAAGGAATTGACGGATATAAGGAACTGACGATAATAAAGAACTGACGGATATAAGGAACTAACGGATATAAGGAACTGACGATAAGGAACTAAGGAACTGACAGATATAAGGAACTGAAGGTTAGAAGGAGCTGACGGATATAAGGAACTGACGGATATAAGGAGCTGACGGTTATATAGTACTGACTGTTAAAAGGAACTGACGGTTATAAGGAACTGACGGATATAAGGAACTGACGGATATAAGGAACTGGCAGTTAAGAGGAACTGACGGATATAGGGAACTGACGGTTATAAGGAACTGACGGATATAAGGAACTGACGGATATAAGGAACTGACGGATATAAGGAACTGGCGGTTAAAAGGAACTAGCGGTTAAAAGGAACTGACGGATATAAGGAACTGACGGTTATAAGGAACTGACGGTTATAAGGAACTGGCGGTTAAAAGGAACTGACGGATATAAGGAACTGACGGTTATAAAGAAACTGACAGTTAATAAGGAACTGACGGATATAAGGAACTGACGGATATAGGGAACTGACGGATATAAGGAACTGACGGATATAAATAACTGACGGATATAAGGAACTGACGGATATAAGGAACTGACGGATATAAGGAACTGGCGGTTAAAAGGAACTGACGGATATAAGGAACTGACGGTTATAAAGAAACTGACGGTTAATAAGGAACTGACGGATATAAGGAACTGACGGATATAAGGAACTGACGGTAATAAGGATATGACGGATATAAGGAACTGACGGATATAAGGAACTGACGGATATAAGGAACTGACGGATATAGGGAACTGACGGTTATAAGGATATGACGGATATAAGGAACTGGCGGTTATAAGGAACTGACGGTTATAAGGATATGACGGATATAAGGAACTGACGGATATAAGGAACTGACGGTTATAAGGATATGACGGATATAAGGAACTGACGGATATAAGGAACTGACGGATATAAGGAACTGACGGATATAAGGAACTGACGGATATAAGGAACTGACGGTTATAAGGAACTGACGGATATAAGGAACTGACGGATATAAGGAACTGACGGATATAAGGAACTGACGGATATAAGGAACTGACGGATATAAGGAACTGACGGATATAAGGAACTGACGGATATAAGGAACTGACGGATATAAGGAACTGACGGATATAGGAACTGACGGATATAGGGAACTGACGGTTATAAGGATATGACGGATATAAGGAACTGACGGATATAAGGAACTGACGGATATAAGGAACTGACGGATAAGGAACTGGCGGTTATAACTGAGGTTGGAGTATCACCAGAACAGTGCTGTTTGTATTTGAACTGTAGCTCAAATCGATCAACTCACTGTGGCGCAAAAAACTCGGGATCGGCTTCAAACACGTCCGACCAGGGCAAGCACCGCGAGAAACCCTCCTCATTAACAGCATAGCTCATTTGTCCGCAATAGTCTTCGCCTCTGTTCGCCAGAGAGTGTGGCAACTGGTTGGCTGAATGGTCAAAACAGAAGAATAGTTTCAGTGTTAACTATATGGACAAGGTTGTGGTCAGAAAGAAATAGTGACCAAATCAATCAGTCCACAGATGTTTAAGATCAATATTTCAGCTATGTGGCAGCGGTCTGTAAGTAATCGACTCTGGACCACACGATCCAGTGATCAACAACATGTGCATCTATCTACACAACTGGGATACGATGACATGTGTCAACCATATCAGCGAGTGTGACCACCCGATCCCGTTAGTCGTCTCTTACGACAAGCATGGGTTTCTGAAGACCAATTTTAACCTGGTTCTTCACGGACATGTATATTCAGGATAAGAAATGACTCGATTGCTCGAGGAAATACTTACATGAGGCTAGCTTGGCTGTACACTGGAACCCGGTGAAGGAGCAAGACTGAATCCCGGTACTGAAGGTCACCCTCAGTTTGTTGGCGATGGACAACAACGGCGACATCTGGTTTCCATTCGCGTAGATTGGGCTGATAAAAAATCATCATTAATAATAATAAAACGTATAACGGGCATAGTATACAGAAACATTATTTCTCTGAAAATATACCCATGATACTTGTGATAGATTCATGACGTGTCAGCGAGTGTGAGTGAGTATAGTTTTACGCCACTTTTAGCAATATTCCAGCAATATCACGGCAGAGGGCACCATAAATGGGCTTCACACATTGTACCCATGTGGGGAATCGAACCCAGGTCTTCGTTGTGACGAGCGAACGCTTTAACCACTAGGTTACCCAACCGACACCCATGACGTGTCAGAAGCAGGTCTACGACTCCAGTAGTCACGTGGTGTACGTTAAATCCCGTGATTCACGCTAATGTTATCTTTAACTCTGCTTCCTTCACCACAGCGAAACACAAATCCCGTTGTCTCGAAGTTACAGAAACCATCGGTATATTCGTAGTTCGAGACAAACCGAGCTGTTATATATGCCACGTTAGCGATTAAGATATTCTGGCTGAGCCTTAACCTGTATCGACTCAAACGATGTATCGAAATATTGTTTTTCGAGTTTGTGGATTCAGAGATCAGGGGGGCATCGTGATTCGAGAAGTTGCAGTTATCTCCCTTTGATTTAACTATCCTGGTTTCAAATCTCAGATTAGGGTAGTGTATATGGCAATAGTCCATGTATGTTCGTACTGAGCATATGTCTGTTTATTATGAACCACTTGGCTAACAAGTCTTACTCCACGTTGCCTTCCCCAAGCATGTTCTTGCTGATCTTGAAAGACGCATCACAGCCGATGTCGATGTTATCGCATTCAAGGAGAACCCTTGATCCCTCGGGAGCCTGAGGGGGAGAGACGGCATCATTATTAAACCCGCAGCAGGTTAATTTCTACTCCCAAAACATATTTAAGGATACGCATGCATATATATTTATCGTACTTCCATTTCCTCAAAATAATACGGAAGTTAACTAGTCCATTGGATTTCCATTCCCCTAAAAGATGAATTAAGGATAGGGGCGACCACTCTTACTATTCTCATGATATTTTGTTATTTGTTCACAGGAGGTGGACCACCTGGAGGGGTGGGTTGGGGGTGTGGGGATGGGATGGGGATGGTGGTGGTGGTGGTGTGTGTGTGTATGTGCGTGCGCTGCGTCTCTCTCTCTCTCTCTCGCTCTCTCTCTCTCTCTCTCTCTGTGTAAGGTTGGTGTGATTTTGTATGGACACCAGATATTCTAGTCAGCTACACATGCAAAAACAGACATTTGTTTAAGTTGACAGGAAACCTATTTTCTTTTGTTACACGAACCAACCTTGTAAATATACTCCCCATCAAAAGTTTAGACTCACTAGTGTAAATGTAGCCACTTACTTAAGTCAACTCTTCTACACTAGATTTTGCAAAATTTTCCATTCTGTTTAAAGGTACTGTTTTACTGATGTATTGTAAAACAAAATCGTAACGTTGAAAAGATTATTGTCATTGGTTAAAAAAATGATGAAACTGAGTGAATTTTTAACAAAATTTTACACCACAGCACAGCTGTTCACATGCACGATATTTGCACACGCTTTTTAGCAATTTAATGCATGATCCTCGTGCAATTCCTCTGCATAAAGTTTGCAGTTGGTTCCCCAAAGTTAGAGAAGAATTCATCTTCGATGTAACCACACATGTATGCATAACATATAGTGAGTGAGTGAGTGAGTCTAAACTTTTGATGGGTAGTATATGTATTCTTTGAATCATGCAATGTATTTTGGCAGTCTGGTTTGTATACAAACTTTCTTTACGGCTGGGCTTTTCTTCCTTATAACTAATTTGCTAATTTAACGGTACTGTTATAACTTCTCCATGTTGCTGAAGTAAGGCAAGTTTGAATAATTATACCTGTTTATTTTATGACCGTGGTTTTGATCGAATGCACATCCAACGAACATGGCGAAGTTTTGTTTACCTTAAACACCCAGTTGCACTCCTTGTTTTTGCCGTATGCGTCTGGGTAGCTGGGCGAGGTGAACACTTCCTCCGCGTGGGTCTCGCTCAGGTCGATAACACCTCCACAGCCTGAAAGAATTGGTATTCGGTTGATGTCCACAGGAAAGCTTGAAAACAGACACATTCACTGAGACAGTCACATCCACAGCGCCAGTCAGACACATACACAGAGACAGTCACATCCACAGCGACAGACAGACACATACACAGACAGTCACTTACATAGAGACAGAAAGAGGGTCACAGAGACAGTCACATACACAGAGACAGTCACATACATTGAGACAGACAGACAGTCACAGAGACAGACAGACAGACAGACAGACATACACAGAGATAGACACCGGTCCTATGACATTCCATAAATATATTTATCAGGGATCTGGATTATAATGAAATTTTGAAGGGAAAATTTGTTCCCGTAAATACTGTAACAAGATGTTGTCAGTCAAAAGCTTTCATGTAGAAGGCAGACAGAAAGACGCTCATACACAACAATGCCTCCTGTCCTTTTTTTCTGACGAACATTTGTTTGGTTCAGATATTTTCATAGGTCTGTTCAATAATTGGTTGGTTGGTTAGTAGTTTAAAGCCGCACTCAGCAATATTCCAGCTATATACTAGAGTGAGTGAGGGAGTTTAGTTTTAGGCCGCATTCTAGTCCAGCTATATGGTGGCAGTCTGTTAATAATCGAGTCTGGACCATACAATCCAGTGATCAACAGCATGAGCATCGATCTACGTAAGTGGGTTGCGATGACATGTCTCAACCAAGTCAGCGAGCCTGACCACCCGGTGGCGTTAGTTGCGACAAGCATGGGTTACTGAAGACCAATTCTAAACAGGATCTTTGCAGGTTGTCTCCTATAAGGTTGATTTTGACCTGAACGATTTTATTACATTTGCTTTGAGTGTTTTTTATATTTTGTGTCTATGTTACACAAAACTGAAGGATGGAGAAAAGAATGGATCAGTTGTGTCTTTAGACTTTGGTCCCAACTTACTGTAATCAACTGGTTCATATCGGCAGTAGTCAAGCTTGAGGCTGTTGTCACTGGACTCTGTGAATGACGGTAGGGTGTCGCCGAAGTTGAACTCGGAGGGTCCATCTTGGACAAAGGTGAAATGCTCGCTCTGGACGTTCATACCTGCAGGAGCGGAAGATATTCAGGTGATTGTTTTCTTGTAGGGATATTGCGGTATTGTTTGTTTGTTGTTTAACGCCATACTCAGCAATATTCCAGCTATATGGCGGTGGAAATATAAGAGTGAGTGAGTTTAGTTTTACGCCACACTCAGCAATATTCCAGCTATATGGCGGTGGAAATATAAGAGTGAGTGAGTTTAGTTTTACGCCACACTCAGCAATATTCCAGCTATATGGTGGCGGTCTGTAAATAATCGAGTCTGGACCTCATTATCTAGTGATCAACAGAATGAGCATCGATCTACGCAACTGGGATACGTAACACGGGTCAACCAAGTCAGCGAGCCTGACCACCCGATCCTGTCAGTCGCCTCTTACGACAAGCATGGGTTACTGAAGATCAAATCTAACCCGGATCTTCACGGTCCGGAAATATTAGAAGTAAATATAAGAGGAGAGTCTTGGTATTAGTAGCGATGCTTGTTTGTTGTTTAAATGTCCTTCATGCCTTGCACCAGGCAGTGCAACAACAAGTACCGCTCTTTGGTATGACTCTGTCTGGTATGACTCTGTCTGGTATGACTCTGTCCGGGTCCGAACTTTCGACTTTCCGTTCTTTGAGGAGATGTGCGATTCGTCACCCAACGGATGCGGTTAATAATAAAAGGAGTTGGTTTGTTGATTAATACAGCACTCAGCAATATTTCAGATACATGGCGGCAGTCTTTGTACAATCGGACCAGACAATCAAGTGATCATATCATCTGCACAATTGGGATACCATGACATGTGTCAACCAAGTCAGCGAGCCTGACCACCCGATCCCGTCAGTTGCCTCTTACGACAAGCATGGGTTACTGAAGATCAATTCTAACCCGGATCTTCACATGTAGTAGTAGTAGTAGTGGTGGTAGTCGTCGTAGTCGTGGTAATGAGTGAGTGAGTTTAGTTTTACGCCGATTTTAGCAATATTCCATCAATATCGCGACGGGCACACCATAAATGGGCTTCACACATTGTACCCATGTGGGGAATCGAACCCGGGGCGCCGGCGTGACGAGCGAACTCTTTAACCACTAGGCTACCCCAACGCTCCAGTATCAGTATTAGTATTAGAAGGAGTAATGGTGGTGGTGGTTGTCGTCGTCGTCGTCGTCGTCGTCGTCGTCGTAGTAGTAGTACTAGTAGTAGTAGTAGTAGTATAGTAGTAGTATAGTAGTAGTAGTGGTAGTAGTATAGTAGTAGTAGTAGTAGTATAGTAGTAGTAGTACCAGTAGTAGTAGTGGTAGTAGTATAGTAGTAGTAGTACTACTAGTAGTAGTAGTATAGTAGTAGCAGCAGTAGTAGTAGTAGTAGTAGTAGTAGTAGTGGTTGTAGTGGTAGTAGTAGTATAGTAGTAGTAGTAGTAGTTGTAGTAATAGTGGTAGTAGTGGTTGTAGTGGTAGTAGTAGTAGTAGTAGTAGTATAGTAGTAGTAGTAGTAGTAGTAGTAGTAGTAGTAGTAGTAGTAGAAGTAGTAGTAGTAGAAGTAGTAGTAGTATAGTAGTAGTAGTAGTAGTAGTAGTAGTAGTAGTAGTAGTAGTAGAAGTAGTAGTAGTAGTAGTAGTTGTAGTAACCGTGCGACAATTATTTAGTCAGATGAACCCCTCCCGCCTACCTGCAACTTGTTCGCAGTCCTTGTTCTGTGTTTTCAACAGCGTGAAGGGGAAGTCATTAGGGAGGGACAGTTTGTCGCCGGGGAACCTGTCGTCACGGCAACAGAACTGGTAAACGGCATCTTCCCCGAACTCCCCTGCAGGGAGGCCGCAGTTGGTATCGGGGTCGTCACACAGATCTTGAGTGCTGGCCTCGTTCACTTGGTAGTAGGCGTCGCTGAATCCTGCCAGATGAAAATATAGGTCAATAGTTTGAGTTGAAGTTTTGAAGGTGAGGTGAGGTGAGGTGAGGTGAAATTGGGTTTAACGTCGTGCTTGAGAATATTTCGCTCATATGACGACGTGCATGCTTGTGTATGTGTATGTGCGGCTGCTTGTACTAGCCCAGACTGAAGCTGGTTTTATAGTGCTAGCTCACTGAGATACCATGCCGCAGTGAAGCATGAATACCCCACTCAGAAACATTATACTGACTCCGAGCCGACCAGTCCTTGTTGTACCCATTAATGCAGAGCAGACCAACAAGTACCATATTTTAACGTCTTTTGTATGACGCTGTCGGATCGCGACCTTCCGCTGGCGGACACTCTAACCACTAGACCACGGAGGCGGTCCGAAGTTTTGAAGGAACTTAATTACTACAGAGGTAGTTCTACCTGTCTGATGGGTTCCTCATTAAAAAAGCAGGAAGACTCGTATCGGTGAATGTTGTGAGTGAAAAAAGATCAGAATACGTTGAAGGATTGAGGTACTTTGATGAAAAGTTCTTAAATGGTTATGGTAAAACATCGCACGAAATGCCAGTATATAAATCGTCATATTGACATTACAAAGAACATAGCTAACAGAATTGTGTCGCATGATTTGATTTTTTTTAATAAGGATAGGACCAAAAGGTGAGAGATTCAAATACACACGTGAGCTTGTTTACATAACGGCTCTCATGTTTTGTACGCCAGCACGCGCGCTTCACACCTCATCCTCTCATTACCGTAATCGGAGCACTCGATTCCTGGGTTGTAGAAGCACATGCTTCCTGGCGTCCATTTGCCGGTGTAGCTGTTGCCGATGTTGGTGCAGAAATCGAGCTTGAGGGCACCGGGGGACTGGGCACCGGCCAGAGTGTTGGGGGATGAGTATGTGATGTTCCCCTGGCTGTTGGCGACGCGTGTCCCCACCACGAAGCCCGATGGCGGACAGCCCTCTTCTGGGGCGAGATAGGACACCGGAGTGGGCCAGTCTGCCACTGGGTCTGGGGAGACAATACGTGACCATTATCAGCCGTCATAAGGCTATATATACACAGGGGTGAGTGATTCAGTTTAGTTTTGCGCCTCTTAGCAAAATACCAGCAATACCACGGTGGGGCTTTACACATTCTACCCATATGATGAATCGAAGCCGGGTCTTCAGCGACCAGCTGCTCCACCGTCCCTAAGGGCCAAATCTGTCTATCTAACCCATTCGAGTCCCGGGTGTCGTTGTACAAAGCGATCTTAGCGCTAAGGTGGCCGTAACTCTCATACCTTAACATAGACTTAAGGTAGTCTTAGTGCTAAGGTTGTATTGTACAACGGCACCCTGGGCCATATTTTCCTCAATTCCATTTTCCTCTAGCCTGAATCTCCCACCTAACGGGGGGCATCTTTTCAACTTAATTGGCGTTTTTGTTTCTACACCAAGCTCTAGTCTGTTTCATGGTTTGGCATCACCGCGAAAAACAGATTGTAGACCTACGCAGTTCCCGTGCAAGACGACAACGCAATGCCATGTCTCTCAGTAGTGAGTGAGTCGGGAGTTACGCCGCTTTTAGCAATATTCCAGCAGCATGGGGGGGCACCCATGTGGGGGAATCGAACCCGGGCGTGACGAGCAAACGCGTTGACCACTAGGCTACCCCACTGTCCCTCTGTCTGGGATACAGGAGGAATTTAAAACGTTTTGTACCAATGCAAATCGGTGGATCCTGAAGCCGACTAATTAAAACGAAATTCGCGTTTAGGCAGTGTATGAAATAAGGACTGTCCGACCGCCCGACACGGGCTAGATTTCTGACGGACGGTCTAAATTTACAGCTAGCTGATGGTCTGTTAAATTTTTTTAAATGTTCCATACATTTGAGCAAATTCACCATTTCTTGGTGTCTGGTCTGGTTGAATCCATTTTGGGCTGGTAACATTTTGGCTTATTTCAAACACTGGTTTAAGACAAGGAACTGGTCAGTCCATAGCCTGTACTCGTCTGTTGTAGTGAGTGAGTTGGGTTTTATGACGCTTTTAGCGTATTTTCCAGCAATATTACGGCGAAGGGACATCAGAAATGGGCTTCACACATAGTACCCATGAGGGGAATCGAACCCGGGTATTCGTCGTGACGAGCGAACGCTTTAACCACTAGGCTACACCACCGCCACACGTCTGTTGTACAAAACATGGATTCGAACGTACATCTTGAGTTAAGGGCTGTGGTACAGTTGGTGCGGCTATCCAATCCAGGGGGACACACACACTGGCATTTGTCCTGGAATTTCCCCATGTATCCCTCGTTTGCACAGGTGATGCTGTCGCAGCTCGTCTCGGCTGGAACATTAGATACAAGCCATGAATACATTGTACAATAGTGAGTGAGTTTAGTTTTACGTCGCACTCAGCAATATTCCAGCTATATGGCGGCGGTCTGTAAATAATCCAATCTGGACCAGACAATCCAGTGATCAGCAGCATGAGCATCGATCTACGCAATTGGGAACCGATGACATGTTTCAACCAAATCAGCGAGCCCCACCACCCGATCCCGTTAGTAAGCTAGGTTTCTATGAGTACGTATTGTCTGGGTTAGTGCGTGATGCGCAGTGCGTATTACGTGTGCGTAGTGTCCAGTATAGGCTATGTGATGTGTTAAATCAAGTCTTTCTTTTCATAGAGAAGTTGTGTGTGCAATGAAAACCACGTCACATTGGGAAAACCTCTTGGGAAAACCCACATCCGGCCTCCGTATAGCTGCGTGATGCGTATTAGGACACTTTTTGAGCGTAAGCAAAATTACGCAGCACGCAGCATGGGAACGGCAGTTACTATTTAAGTATAAAGTGTTGTTTACGCACTACGCACTACGCGCACATGGAAACCCGACAAGCATGGGTTAATGTAGATCAATTCTAACCCGGATCTTCACGGGTCGGAAATGTGCAGTAGGAATGGAGGGTGATCAGCGTGTTAAAGTTTGGAGCCTACCGAAGCAGTGGTGATTGATGCTGATTTCCATCAGCCTGTTATAGTTTGGTGCCTACCGCAGCACTTGTGATTGATGCTGATCTCCATCAGCCTGTTAAAGTTTGGTGCCTACCGCAGCACTTGTGACTGATGCTGATCTCCATCAGCGTGTTATAGTTTGGTGCCTACCGCAGCACTTGTGACTGATGCTGATCTCCATCAGCGTGTTAAAGTTTGGTGCCTACCGCAGCACTTGTGATTGATGCTGATCTCCATCAGCGTGTTATAGTTTGGTGCCTACCGCAGCACTTGTGATTGATGCTGATTTCCATCAGCGTGTTATAGTTTGGTGCCTACCGCAGCACTGGTGATTGATGCTGATCTCCATCAGCCTGTTAAAGTTTGGTGCCTACCGCAGCACTTGTGATTGATGCTGATCTCCATCAGCGTGTTAAAGTTTGGTGCCTACCGCAGCACTTGTGACTGATGCTGATCTCCATCAGCGTGTTATAGTTTGGTGCCTACCGCAGCACTTGTGATTGATGCTGATTTCCATCAGCGTGTTAAAGTTTGGTGCCTACCGCAGCACTTGTGATTGATGCTGATCTCTATCAGCGTGTTAAAGTTTGGTGCCTACCGCAGCACTGGTGATTGATGCTGATCTCCTTGAAGAACAGAAACTGACTGATGACCGATGGTCGTGCAGCCCCAGGATACAGGTAAGTGTAAGTCGGCCATCCGTACTTCGATATGAGCTGAAACAAACATTAGTGACTCGTGGTTACTAGGTAACAGGAATCTTGATAACTAGGTAACAGGAAAAGTAGTTACTAGGTAACAGGGAACTTAGTTACTAGGTAACAGGAAACTTGGTTACTAGGTAGCAAGAAACATGGTCGCTAGGTAACGGGAAACCTGGTTACAGGGTAACAGAAAACTTGGTAACTAGGTAAAAGGAAACTTGATTACTGGGTAACAGGAAACTGGGTTTCTAGGTAACAGGAAACTTGGTTTCTAGGTAATAGGAAACTGGGTTTCTAGGTAACAGGAAACTTGGTTACTAGGTAACAGGAAACTTGGTTCCTAGGTAACAGGAAACTGGGTTTTTAGGTAACAGGAAACTGGGCTACTAGGTATGAATGAATGATTGTGGGAGTCGAACTGCTGCATACGAGCTTTACCATAAGGCAACCATTTCAGAATTGTCAACTTTTATCTTGGCACATTATGTACGATGGTAATACTTCCTGATCTCGTCAGAATCCCCTTACATCAACATGCAAAGGTCCAGTATGGAGCCCCGATTGGTTTCATTGCATATTCGAGATCGCATTCAAAGAGAATCCGTGACGAGAAGGGATTATGTAAGTTTAACTCATGCGGTTGTTGTTGTTGTTGTTTATCAAGTCGTTGTTGATTGTCAAGTCGTTAACTCAAGTAATGATATTTTTACAATGCAATATATATTTTACAATGCAAGTTTAAGAATATTTCCTCTCTAGTTTTATTCAAGATATTTGATGCTCAGATAAAGCCAATCTTACTCTATTCTAGTGAAGTGTGGGGTAATTCAAGAATTGAATGCATCGAGCGTTTTCATATTAAGTTTTGTAAATATGTTATTGGTGTAGGTAGTTATGTTTCTAATGTTGCTGCACTTGGTGAATGTGGTATATTTGGCTTATTTGTTGATTGTCATAAAAGATGTATTCAGTATTGGTTAAAGTTTCTGTCAATGCCTAATCATAGATATCCTAAGCAAAGCTATCTTCTTGGTAAATATTTAGATGACTGTAATCGTGTCACATGGGCTTCAAAGGTTAAAATATTACTGTTCCCTTATGGTTTTGGATTTGTTTGGATCTCTCAGGAAGTTGGTAATTATTCTTTATTTCTTAGTAAGTTTGTGCAAAGAGTTAAAGATTGCCACCAGCAAGATTGGTTTTTCAAAGCATGTGAATCAAATAAGTTATGTTTCTATCAAGAATATAAATCTCTACTTACAGTTGAATATTATTTATCCACTCTTAAGGATCGTGAATACAGAAGGCTTTTATTTTTTGTTAAGATATGGGGAATTGCCTTTAATGATAAACTTTGGTAGACGTTGCAGTATCGTTCGCAATGAACGATTTTGTAATTTATGTATGAATGGATGTATAGAAGATGAATACCACTTTTTGTTAATGTGTAAAGTGTATTCCATTTTAAGACGTAAGTATACTCCTGAATATTTCTGGAAACATCCTTCTATTTATAAATTTAATGTGTTATTAAGTTGTGATAAAGGGAATATCCTAATTATTTTTTTGTAAAAGAAGCTTTAAGGTTAAGAAGTGTTTAAGAGGTGTACCTAACCATTTTGTCACTATCATTATTCTTTTGTGAGTTTTGTACTTGGGGCTATGGCCTTTATACTGAATAAACTTTGAATTAATGATATTTTCTCACGTAGTTGTTGTACATCATTATGGACTGGGAGGAGAAACCACAGCTCTTGTATTTCTGCTGGTCCACGTCTGATGCCAGCTCCTGCGCGGGCCGGTAAACTGAAAACAAGTCGTCATCTTACAGGTTTGTGATGGTCTGGTTTGGACTGACATCAACCATGTGGGAGTTGCGATGAGTGAGTTTAGTTCTACTCCACTTTTAGCAATATTCCAGCAAATATCACGGCGGGGAACACCAGAAATGGGCTTCACACATTGTACCCACAGGACCTCGTGTCTTTGCGAGGATAAAAGATTTTATATAATATATACAAAAAATTAAGATGAACCCCGATTCGAAATGCTTCACAGTTAAATATATTATCATGATGTATTGTACTGGGAAGCATTTCGAGTCGGGGGTCATCTCAAGAACAATATTTTTTAAATCATTAATCCTCGCAAAGACACGAGGGCCGGTGATTGTACCTAGCGTGACGAGTGAATGTCTTAATATTAGGCCACCCCACCCACCCTCGTAAGATGGATGGACTCTTTGATCTTTTATATTTTACTGTTTTTACTTGAACATTTTTTCAAAGTGCGGATCACATGTCACATATAATCAACAAAAAGGTTGACAATTGAATGCTTTTAACACCTTCATGTACAGAAAGAAGAATATGTATTTTTATAAAGAAGCTAGCAACAGTATCCAGGTTCTATGACGTGGCTGATGCATGCCATCGTATCCCAGTTACGGACATCATGACACTCCAGACTTTATCATTAACAGGCCGCCGTTATATAACGGGATTATTTCTGATTCCGGAGTTTCTAGGACATTAGTTCTGCCCCACAACAAAGCACATTTGATACATGTGGTCTCACCTTAGACAAGTGAGTTTGTTCAAAATTGCCTCTGTTCACCCATTTCAGAAAATGGGTACCAGGTGGGATAAATCATGCGACTATTAACCTTCTAGGCAGCTTGGGTTATCTGTGATAATATTAATCAGATTGTGATTTTTCAGCGCTTTGATCATTGTCCTTGTGTGTTGGAAGTCAGCGCTATACAAATATTAATTAATTGAACAAACAAACAAACAAAAAAACTTTACTCACATTCCCCAGCATTGTCCAGGTTAGCGTTGATGTATTCCTGTCGTACGTTGATGTTCAGTTCATGTACCAAGCCAAGCATATGTCCGAATTCATGGGCGTATGTAATCTAACCGGTAAATAATATAATTAATCATTTAAAGTCATAAGCTTCATTGAGATATTGAGGAAATATCAGCCCAAAAGAAAGGTGTACCCCAGGATTTTACCTCGATTCACAAACATGGGGTTACACAGTTATTAGTTTTAATGGTCCTAGCAGGCCACATGAGGGTCGTGTGAAGTAACGGTGTAGAGAACTGTATGTTTTGATAATTCTTTAGAGCCTGGAATGAATAATTAATCATGTGGACTGATGGATGAAATGATGCACGTAACTGCTCAATAACGTAGACTGAGTGACTGAGTTTGGTTTTACGCCGCTTTTAGCAATATTCCAGCAATATCACGGCGGGGGACACCAGAAATGGGCTTCACTCATTGTACCCATGTGGGGATTCGAACCCGGGTCTTCGGAGTGACGAGCGAACGCTTTAACCACTAGACTACCCCACCGCCCCAATAACGTAGAAATCGTATATATAGATGTGATGTGGGTACACTGAATAATATTGTGCGTCGTTCTGGAAGAAGTGAATTTTTCTGCTCCATTATCATTATTTGTGAATACTGAACGCACATTCGCGCGGCGCGTAAAACCTTGGACTATCCTGATCGTTCTCGCCCACTGTAGACAATAATTGTTTTACATTTCCTTGTACAGAAAAACCGTGCCCGTACTGCTCTTTCGTGAATCTAAGACAACATTGGATATGGTGAATAAATGCAAATTAGTGGTTTTAAACCACAGGTATAACAGTAACTCCTGCACTAATTCAGAGTAAGAATAGTCATGTCTGTGCGGGATGGGAAACAAATTATATGGGTATTTTACGTTCTTGGTTGGTGTAAGACAAAGATGTACTCTCCGTCCTTCACATTTTTCAGTTTGTATATAAAAATTAGCGGAGTTTAGAATCAGACAAAAAAAGGTCAGTAAACTCACAGCTCCACTGCATGGTGACAGCGATCTTCCTTTTGAGCTGTACCCAATGTGTGCAGAGCATCTGTAACCCGGAAGGACTCAATTTATACTTCAACCCGGAACTAGACAATCCAGGGATCAATATCATGAGCATCGATCTGCGTAATTGGGATACAATGACATGTGTCAACCAAGTCAGCGAGCCTGACCACCCGATTACGTTAGTCGCCTCTTACGACAAGCATGAGGTAGTAGTAGTAGTAGTGGTGGTGGTAGTCGTCGTAGTAGTGGTAGTGAGTGAGAGAGTTTAGTTTTTACGCCGCTTTTAGCAATATTTCAGCAATATCACGGCAGAGGACACCAGAAATGGGCTTCACACATTGTATCCATGTTGGGAATCGAACCCGGATTTCCACGGGTCGAAAATTACATGAATGGATATTGGTGGATCAGGTGTTAACTTAGGTATTTGTTGGAAGCACACCAATTCGCAAGTTTTTCTATATTGTCCAACGCCGCACAACACTAAATATACACAAGGCATGTCATACATACTGCCCAGATTGAACTAAGTGTGTTTGTCTTTGTGTGGTGTGTTTTGAAATTAGTCAGGCGTCGGGGTGATTCCGGCGAGAAAACATGCCCCAGCAACCTGTCCTGGTGACAGGCGTGCCCAAATGGGTCGGTTGATCAGGTGTTAGGTATTTGTACCTGCATTGGATGCATGATTGTATGTATGTATGAGTGTGTTTGTTGTTTGTGAGTGTGTTTGTTGTTGTGAGTGTGTATTTGTATTGTGTGTGTGTATGTATGTATGTATGTATGTATGTGACATGTATGTATGTATGTTATGTATGTATGTATGTATGTATGTATGTATGTATGTATGTATGTATGTATGTATGTATGTATGTATGTATGTATGTATGTATGTATGTGAATATTTGTGTGTGTATGTGTGTATATGTGTGAGTGTGTGTGTGTGAGAGAGAGAGTGTTTTGTGTGTGAGAGAGTGTTTGTGTGTGTGAGAGTGTTTGTTGTTGTGAGTGTATTTGTGTGTGTGAGTGTGTGTATGTATGTATATGAATGTGTGTGTATGTGTGTGTAAATGTGAGTGTATGTGTGTGTGTTTGTGTGTGTGTGTGTGTTTGTGTGTGTGTGTGTGTGTGTGTGTGTGTGTGTGTGTGTGTGTGTGTGTGTGTGTGTGTGTGACACAACAACTGACAATAAGGAAAAGATTGGGTCAGGTTGTCAACTCACACGCCACTGTGATAGATGTAAACCCATCCCTGTGTCTGATCCGCGCCAGGAACAGTGGAAGAGTTATCGGCCTTTTCCTTGAAGCGGATGCAGGTGTTCTTCTCGAGCGTGGTCATGAATCCCCGCCATTGTTTCTCAAGGCTTGCAGCTGTAGGTAAGAGGGTCGTTACATCCAAGAGCATGTGACAACTTCTTATCAGAACAATTTCATTTATTCTAATCAGAACATGTTATTTTTTGATATACCAGCTTTGCAGTCTACCAGAACCCATCGTTGTTCTTTGAATACTGAGCACCGCTTGGTGCCTTGTCCTCGGTTCGAATCCACATTCTGAAGTGGGATCCTTAGTGTCAACAGATACTATGCCACTTTCTCATATTAAGTTTACATGTCGTGGCAATTGAAATACCGGCTGATAGAGATAGTGATTGAGGTGGTTTAAAGCTGAGTCGACACTTACTTCAGTTACATGACGGCGTTAGATCCGGGTTAGAGCTTGTGTTCAGTAACCAATGCTTGTCGTAAGACTCGACACACACAAACACACACACACGCACGCAGGCGCACACACACACGCGTATGCACGCACACACTCCACCTTTTCTTGAACACCTGGTGTCATTACCGACGATATTCCAATATTTGTCCCTACCATATCTCCTTTACTCCACAACTTTAACACCCGTGAAGATCCGGGTTAGAATATTGGTCTTCAGCAGCCATAGAGGCAATTAACGGGATCGGGTGGTCAGGCTCGCTGACTTGGTTGACACATGTCACTATGCGCTCTCACTCACTCTAATATTTCTGCCTCCATATAACTGGAATATTGCTGAGTGCGGCTTTAAACAACAAACCAACTAACCAATTACAGAACAGACCTATGAAAATGTCCGAACCAAACAAATGTTCGTCAGAAAAAACATGATGCATCGTTGGGTATTAACGTCTTTCTGTCTGTCTTCCACATGAAAGCTTTTGGCTGAAAATATGTTGTTACAGTATTTTCTGGAACAAATGTTTCTTTTCATCATATCCCAATTGCGTAGATCGATGTTCATGATGTTGATCACTGGATGGTCTAGTCCAGACTAGGAATATTGCTGAGTGCGGCGTTAAACAAAAAAACAAACAAACGGCGTGTCTGCTTGATGTAGATTGGAATTCCGAAGTGATGTTGGTCCTAAACGTTTAGTCCTTTAATGATGGTTGGTTGGTTGTTGTTAAACGCCTCACTCATGAGTATTCCAGCTAAATGGCGGCGTTCTTAAATAATCCAGTGATGAACAGCATGAGCATCGATCTACGCGATTGTGATACGATGATATGTGTCAACCAAGTCAGCGAGCCTGACCCGCCGATCCCGTTAGTAGCCACAGGCCCTCGTGTCTTTGCGAAGATTAAAGATTATTATTTACGTTTTTGAGATGACCCCCGTCTCGAAATGCTTCACAGTACAATACATGTATATTGTACTGTGAGGCATTTCGAGTCGGGGGCCATCTCAAATTTAAAACAAGATTTTTTTGTATCTTTAATTCAATTCTCGCAAAGACACGAGGGCCTGTGTTAGTAGCCTCTTACAACAAGCATAGGTTACTGCAGATCAATATTCTAACCCGGATCTTCACGGGTCAATCCTTTTATGAAATCATGGAGCCTGGGTACGGTGCTACCAAATTCCAGACACAACCACGTATATTTGCTGGGGTGGAAATAACCCATTGCCCGACGTCCGAGTCTAGTGTTCTTTTCTGTCGGGCAAGCAAATTTGTATATCATACTGTACCGGTGTCCAGTTGACTTTCCCATGTTAATTATGTTGTTTACTTAAAAATTCAACAACAAAACGGCTGGTATAGTGGAAAAATTATCAGGGCAAGTGATTTTACATGTGCCACTGTACAGGAGTACACAAGCAATTTTAATGTTATTTCCACCCCTGAATTGAAACCCACGGTGTTACGTTTCTGGAATTCCTTAGAAGGTATTAGCGGAATATGGGATACCTGTGCACCACAAGCACTGTTCCAAACTGATTTACCTGCCTGTTAATAGAATATTTTAGGGACTTACGGACATTTGGTGAGAACAGATATGGAATGATGTTGTCAGGCCAGGGTCGGGTATAGTAGAAAGCCCTTTTCTGTCGATGTCCGTTCTGAAAATTGATCAGATTCTTGTTTAAAATGCAGACATGCACGAGTGTATCGTACTTTGTACTGTACTTTACTGTTCGGAAATATCTTAATGGTTGTTTGGTTGGAAAAACAATGCGAAACCCATTCAACATCGTCAAAAAAGAAAACCTCAAGTGAACCCTGAAAACACGGCGTTTGTAAAAAACAAAAAAACAACAATTTCGGTGCGAATACAATTCGAAAACTATGAAATTGTATAGCAAACCTGCAGAGCCGACACCACTGAGTGAGTGAGTTTAGTTTTACGCTGCACTCAGTTCCAGCTATGTGGCGACGCAAGTCAAAACATTGATTACACAACAGTCTCGTTTCCTGCTGACTGGGTTTCGTCCTATTGCGCAACATAGTACAATAACCAGTCCAGAATTTTTAGCCCAGTTCATTCTACTGGATACAGAAAAATTAATCAATATTATTTGATACATCTAAGCACTTGAATATTGCAACACTACGCTCCTTCTAATCCTTGCAAACACGTCGTGCAGCGTGCTTTGTCGTACAGCGTGCTCTGACAGACTGAAATCTGGAAATCATGGACATCTCAAAACGAGTCTCTACCGCTAGAAAAATTTGGCGGTCTGGAACGGACTTGATATTATATCAATCACATTGTAACCAGTGAGCCAGATGAATTGTGGATCATTTTACGACCTCATCAAACAGGGGCAGTCTGTGACGTCTTAGTTAAGGTCATGCTGCCTACACCTCGCCATAAAATATGGAAATACCATGTTATTAAAGTTTAGAATTAAAATTAACTTGTAAATACCATGTTCTTATGAAACAAGCAATTCGATTTCAGTGTAACCATAGTTGTTTGTGATGTCTCTTTTCATTTTACACAGGAATATTCGGATCGGCTGAAAAGTAGGTAATTGTCTGAATAGGTTAATGAAACTCATGTTTCGGTTTGGTCTGCAAATAATCAAGCCTGGATCAGATAATCCAGTGATCAACAGCATGAACATCGATCTACGCAATTCGGATACGATGACATGTGTCAACCCAGTCAGCGAGCCTGACCACCCGATCCCGTTAGTCGCCTCTTACGACAAGCATGGGTTACTGAAGATCAATTTTAACCCGGATCTTCACGGGTCCGACACTATGGAACGTTCAATGCGTGGTTGCTGATGCTCGGTGTGTCGTTGTCATTATATTATATCGTTACAAGGACGTGCATGTTGCCCTATGTTGACGCAAATTATTGGGCCGAGTGTTAGCAGAACTGTTGCGAAAATATACAACGCTAACGACTGAGAAAAAATCAGTCTCGATTAGCATTTTCCGATTATAAAACCGATTACTGAGTTTAAAAGGCGAATTAAAAAGGTACACACTTGTGGTTTGGGATCATTAAAAGGACAGGGAAAAGAATTAGATACTTTGAAAAGTGTTTGATTGAGATTTAAAAGTATTGTGGACATTGTACATACTGTCAAAATACCACAGGTATCGTACGCATCTGTGGTATGGTGAGCGTCTACGAATCCAACGTAGACGATTCCGTCAATGTGGACTGATTTAGTGACCAAAACCGTTGCTGATTACGTCACTGTGAGCATCCGGTTGCGCATGATGGTGAATGCGCAGGTAATGGTTTCTTGCGGGTGGTCACTCTTGGTGTTCCAGTTCTGGGACTGGCAGACGTCTAACCAGTCTTGTTGACGCGTCTCGTGTCTGATGATGGTCTGCTTTTTACAGCCTAACATTCGAGCAATGGCAGTTCGAAGCCGCCATCTTGAAATTTAAGTGCTTCGTTCTCTCTCCGCTACGAGTCGGTTGGGCAGCCTAGTGTTAAAGCGTTCGCTCGCCACGCCGAAGATCCGGGCTCGATTCCCTTAATGGGTACAATGTGTGAAGCCCATTTCTGGTGTCTCCCGCCAGGAAATCGCTGGAATATTGCTAAAAGCGGCGTAAAATCCAACTCAGTGAGTCAGTCAATCTCTCCGACGCTGACAATCTTGTCAGTTTGATGTCTGCCTCTATTGAGTATGCCACTCACAATCGCCACAATCTCATTTCACCTGTGTTTTCTACTGATGGCGCATAACATGCACGTGCGAATCAACAAAATCATGATTTTCATGATATTTCACTCACAAAACAATGAAGGATATCCGTGCTGCATCAGCAACATATATACAGTGTTTTTACTTTTAAGTCACAAGCAATAGTTTTCAAAATATTTTCTTTATATTGTTTGGAAAATAATCTTCAAACACCGGGCGTACTTTCTTTTGTACGTCAGTGTATATAGGTGCGCGTGCACTCACCGCGCTGTTGACAATCTCCATCCCGGTTTCAAGTTGTTGCTCCGTATCAAGATCCACCTAGAGATGGAAAAAACAACTGTTAACTATACCCATAAAATGAAAAAAAGGAAATCCCCCCTGCGTTAACGAAATCTTCTCAAGAGAACTAAAGTCTGAAAAAATATTACAGAAATGAAATATTAAAAAAAACTAAAGTTTATCCGAATATCTGGAGTGTCCTCGCCCGGTTCCAATCCCAACAACTGGTGTCCCCCGCCGTGATGCTGCTGGAATATTGCTAAAAGTGGCGTAAAACTAAACTCAGTCATTCACTCACTCGCTCACTCCAATCCCAACGATGATTGTCGTCCTTGCTCTGTCAGAATAATGACGTTAATAACGTCAACGAATGGCGTCATTGTGAGCGTTCCAGACAAAAAGTGATTTAAGCCACGTTACATTTGCCTCACTCACTCAGTGCACATACAGTCAAGGTGTGTGGTACAATCTGACCTCACCTCGGGCTCGGATCCTCCCTGGCTGTCTTCAACAGGGGCGCCATAGATCGACTGCAGACAGCACAGCGCTAGAAGAAGCCCTGTGACCTTGAACATATTCATCTGAAAAAATAAAGTAAAATTGTATACCCTCATTTGGTCATTTTTTATGTGGGTATTATTGCTACAGAAGTTAATCATCTGTGGGTGCACGTATTGAATTTCAGTGTTTGTAATATACAGTTTTGTGTAGGAACAGATGGCAGTCCCTCATAGCTGTCAGAAGAGAGTACAGGCTCCGATTTCTCAAAACAAACTTGAGTTTTTGCTCAAATTACAAACTGACATTGAGATTTTTTTCCAAAACAAACTCAGTCAAAACTCAGCTGAGTTTTAACTCAGATTTTCAGATCGATCTCAATTGTTTATACGTGGTGTAAGCGGCCATGGCGCGGAAATCAACTTCCGTTTCTTATCTAAACACGGAAGAAATCGTCTGCTGGCGAAATCTTCTTCCGATAGAAATTTACATACGATCTTCAGAATGGCTACCATCGGCATTGAAGCAAAACGTAGACTTAAGTTTGTTTCGAGAAATCGGGGCCTGGGGTTTATACGGCAACTAGATAAAAAAACTGAAGCAGACATGCGAATATTGTCTGTCATAAAACATATCACGTTCATATCTTCATTCGCCACCTTCAATCATTTTACGAGGGTGGTTGGGTAGCCTGGGGCTTAAAGCGTTCGCTCGTCACGCCGAAGACCCGGGTTTGATTCCCCACATGGGTACAATGTGTGAAGCCCATTTCTGGTTCCCCCGCCGTGATATTGCTGGAGTATTGCTAAAAGCTGCGTAAAACTAACCTCACTCACTCATTTTACGAAAACACACGACGACTTACATGTACATGGTACATTTATTGTGAAAACTATCTGAACAAAAACTATAATAAAGACCAAACGGAATTAGCTATTCATAATATATTTCGACGTTCTTCATCAGTGAATGATTTTTTGGGGGTCAAATGTCGTTTATTTGGTGACGCAAAGCAAAACTTTCTCCTGTAACTTTTCACTCTATGTCGTTTCGTACATTAGCCTTTAAGCGTTCGTAAAAATGCAGTTATTTGTTGATGTGATTGCTGAAGAATCTGTGTAAATAACGAATACAGCTACGTACCCTGAGGTCTTGTGTAATATGGGCGGTGGGCTAGCCTAGTGGTTAAAGCGTTAGCTCGTCATGCCGAACACCCGGGTTCGATTCCCCACATGGGTTCAATGTGTGAAGCCTATTTCTGGTGTCCCCCGCCGTGATGTTGCTGGAATATTGCTAAAAACGGCGTATAAATCATACTCACTCACTCACTTGTGTAATATAGAGATGCGTCTCCAGTCTTCTGTTCAATACTGTCACAAACAGTTGCTGAAGCTGATTATGACATCCGAAAACATCGATCGGGGATATATCTTATCGGAAAGTATATCACAGTATTTCAACAGATGGCTAGCTAACACTGTTTTGGATATTGTTTTTGTGACTTTATTTCGTAGACACTGAACATAAGTGTTGAAGTGTCCCTGACATCTCGAGCACGTGTATAACCAACTGATTTTTGTCCTGGCTACTTGCAGTTTGTTATGTTCAAACTTGGGTTATGTCGAACTTAAATTAGTGGTCCTTTGGGTTCGTTCATCTTTATGGACAATCAAGATATATTCGTACACAATATTCGCAACAATAATTTTCTTTTAATATAACGTTCATAAAAAAATAGTTAGGCTACCATTTTAGTAATATTTGTGTGTTTGTTTTGTTGTCTAACGACTCACTCAGCAATATCCAAGCTTTATGGCGGCGGTCTGTAAATTATCGAGTCTGGACCAGACAATCCAGTGATCAACAACATGAGCATCGATTTACGCAAAGTGGGATACGATGACATGTTTCAGTAAAGTCAGCGAGTCTGACCACTTGATCGCCTCTTACGACAGGTATTGGTTGCTGAAGACCAATTCTAACCCGGATCTTCACTGGTCCATTTTTGTAATAGCATACATGATAATACACATACCAAACTAGTACATAACCCACACCACTCGCCGTATATCCGTTTACACTGTAAATATCTATCTCTGTTTGCATATAAGCATACACCATACACATAATCTTACTTTGTTTAAAGCCTATGCAATAAACACATGACATGTCATATCTTCATGTGTGTGTGTATGTGTGTGAGTGAGAGAGAGAGAGAGAGAGAGAGAGAGAGAGAGAGAGAGAGAGAGAGAGAGAGAGAGAGAGAGAGAGAGAGAGAGAGAGAGTATGTGTGTGTGTTTATACGTAACTGTCTAAGTGTTGTGATATTCCATGTACATGCCTGTAAATGACTGTCTGTAAATATTCGAATCTGGAACAGACAATCCAGTGATCGACACCACTAGCATCGATCTGGGTACGTAATGAGGAACCGATGACATGTGTCAACCAAGTCAGCGAGCCTGACCACCCGATCCCGATAGCTGCCTCTTACGACAAGCATGGGTTACTGTAGACCAATTGTAACCCGGAATCGTCCACGTCCAACATATTTGTGAATTAATAAATGAATACATGTGAAAGACATCCTCACTGTGTCCGTGGTTGATTGTATGTAATTCCTAATGTTCAAACGCTATTGATGTACATAATGTAATCACTAACAGCTGGTCTGCGGTCGAACCTACCGAGAGATACACATAGCAAGACTCTGTTCTACGTCGATGTCAACTGTAATTGTGTTTGCGATTTACTTCTAATATAGACGTGGTTACGCTACAATCTACGCGATTGAGATACGATGAAATGCATTTAGCGACTGTAGTGGTACAATGGCATGCATGCAGGTATGTCCACCAATTGTATAATTGACACTTACCCTGTTCAGTGGCGTAAATGAATCTATTTGACACCAAAATAAATCCAAGCCAAATCTACAATACTCTGGCAAGTCTCTCAGAGCAGTAGAGACTTAGCTGTCCCCCGTCGGTACTGGTCGTACATTTCCGAACGCAATAATCTAGTAACCCAAACACTCGATGCCTCCTTACCAGACATACGACATATACAGTCAGTGTTTAACTGTGATATACATGTACATAAATGTTAATATTCTCTACGTCTTAATACATAATGAGCTGATTTACTTCCCTTCTGTGAATAGTCGTTAACACATCATGTAATATTGATAGAACAGTCGCGTCCATCTGTCAGTGATGATTTATTGCTGTGATATAGTCGCAGATGCAATGACGAGGTAAAACATCAAACTGTCAATCCATAGCAAATATTCACATTTGCGCAACATTCCGTTAAAGATATGTGAGCTGAAGCTTTAAATCAATAACGTGGTTAATTATCAATATGGAGTTTCTTAAACCCACCTGCACAATAACTACTTTTTTCACAACACCTGCTATCATCACCATAAAAATAGCTTTATGTCACCTCTTTTGTTTCTCAGTGAATTCTCAATTATCATAATGCGAGTGTGTGTATTTGTCCCATGTAAAATGTAGTGTTGTGTTTGTTTTGTTTGCCTTGCATCCGGGTTAGAATGAGGATGCAAGGCATCCTAATTAGTATATACATTGTAGCGTAACGCTACAATGTGTATACAAATTAGAATGGATCTTCAGCAGCCTAGGCTTGTCGTAAGAGGCGACTAACGGGATCGGGTGGTCAGACTCGCTGATTTGGTTGACACATATCATCTCTTATCAGTTACGTAGATCGATGCTCAAGGTGTTAATCACTGTATTATCTGGTTCATACCCGATTATTTACAAACCGCTGTCATATAGCTAGCAAACCGTTTGTCTAGCGATTTCGCTAAGGTGAATTGTCATGTATATGATGTCAAAATCGTCTATTCATAAAACTGCAATTGCCAACCCTTGTGGTCAGTATTAAAGTCTGGACCAGACAATCCGGTGATCAATAGCATGGGCATCGATCTGCGCAATTGGGAACCGATGATATGTGTCAACCATGTCAGCGAGCCTGACCACCCGATCCCGTTAATCGCCTCTTACGACAAGCATGGGTTACTGAAGATCAATATTCTAACCCGGACCTTCACAGGTCGAACCTACCGAGAGATACACATAGCAAGACTCTGTTCTACGTCGATGTCAACTGTAATTGTGTTTGCGAAATACTTCTAATATAGACGTGGTTACGCTACAATGTATATACTAACAATGTCATTCATGTTGACAAAAGCGACAAAACACTTTCCATAATCAGGGTGGTAGGGTAGACCCGTGGTTAAAGGGTCCGCTCGTCACGCTGAAAATCCAGGTTCGATTCCCGATGGTACATCGTGTGAAGTCCATTTCTCGTGTCACCCGCTGTGATATTGCTGTAATATTGCTGTAATATTGCTAAAAGCGGCGTAAAACCATACTCACTCACTTTCCATAATCATGTGAAAAAACCTGCCATAGTCGACTGAACGATTTCAACCCCACCACGTGTGTGAATCACTAAAGTGAGAAAAATCAGGGGACACGACAAATGGGCTTCACACAATGTGCCCATGTAGAGAATCGAACCCGGGTCTTCGGCGTGACGAGCGAACGCCTTAACCACTAGGCTACCACACCGCCCCTAATACTAATCAGGGGTGGAAATAACCCATTGCCCGACGCCCGAGTCCAGTGTTTTTTTCTGTCGGGCAATCAAATTTGTATATCACACTGTACCAGTGTCCAGTTGATATTCCAATGTTAATTATGTTGTTTATTTAAAAAATCAACAAGAAAATGGCCGGTATAGTGGAAAATTTATCAGGGCAAGTGATTTTACATGTGCCACTGTACCGGAGTACACTAGCAATTTTAAAGTTATTTCCACCCCTGCTAATAAAAAGGACGAAACCCAACAAAACGACTCTGATAAAAGCAGACTGAGTCTGGGTCGATTGATGGCTTCCGACTATATAATGGGCATGTGTTTATGAATCACTATCAGATCGTCATGATACTACATAAATACTGTTTATGGTATAGCTGGAATAGTACAGCTTATTACAATATATATAGTCAGAACTGCCTCACACTTCACGGTCTGATAATCAGGA